GTTTCACGCGCTCCACCAATATCGTTTTTCAATTTAACGCGCGCGCGAGCCACGAGCGATTTTTATCACGTACAATAAAAAAAAAAGACAAAACATAGTGTGTGCACACTGCACATGCGATAATGAGATGGGTGCCCTTCGTGGCAAAGATCTACTGTTGCTGCTGCAGCTGATAATAAACGGTCGTCGACGACTCGCGAATGCCTGGCGCGCGACAAAGAATAATCTTATACGTTTCTGCTTAAGGTATCGAAGAAGGAGCCGAAAATTCCTCGGAAGGTTCAAAAGCCGAGGTGAGAATTCAAGCGAGAGATCGCTAAGAAAGTTTTCGATTATTCCAGGCACGATAACAACTATTCGCGCATCGCGCAACGTGCGTCGCCCGGCTCGGCTGCTCGCGGAGTAAACCATCGTGCAGGAGCAAACGCGCGGGAGGAACTCTTACATCGCCGTTGCTACAACGCTAAATTAATACGTTTAAATGTACACAAGAACGGAGGGAACGTTTTACAGCGTTAGATTTGAGTTTCTATTTTTATATATGGATGTCATATGAAATATTTAATCATTATTTTATAACAAGCCAACGACTGGCATGTGTCTGAAAAGTTTGAATTGTTTTGAATTGTGCCTTTCTGGAGTTTCTATGATAACATAGTATATGAATCATGATATCTTATGTAAAATTTCCTGAACACTTCATATTCATTGTTGAATAATTCATTTGGTACACGTGCAGTGAAAAACTGAAAAGTCTCAGAGTACATGTACAACTCAGCTGGTTATACATAACACAAAAATAGTATAGGCATTTTAGACGAAAATATATAACCTCAAAATTTAAAAAAATTTTCAAGACGTTCTTTAAAGGCTAATACCACAATTAAGCCAAAATTGAAATATACTTTTTAGAATACCATGGAAAATGCATAATAATAAAAAAAAAAATAAAGAAAAATCCAATGCCAATGGCCTGCAAATTCTTAGTACTCGGTCGATCGAGAGTGTCGATGGGTCTTCGATCACGTGTTCACCACCAACACGACACTGTTACAATACAAGAGCCTCGTGGCACGTTGGCCAACGTGCTGACTCCGTATAAGCAAATATATTTAAATTATTCAACTCACCTTGATTAATTTTTTTACATTTATTTAGTATATTATATAAAAGACGAAAAGAATGTAAAGGAGAAAATAATCAAAACGGAAATGATTCATTTTATTCTTTTTTTGTTGATCATCAATAGCAATATTTTACATTGAATGATTCGCATATCTTATGTTTTTGAATAATTTTTTACAAAAAATAATTCAACATTTTTGTATATTTGTTGAATAAATTACAAATATTTACAATTCTGTTCACTACTTTGCAATTATTTTTTCACGTACAGGTAACGTTTTTTAAGGTTATTTTTTTCCAATCTTTTAATAAACCTTTTCTGATGATACCAAGTACCGAAAATACCAAACCGAATTGCTTCTTTTTTTTTTTAAATTAAAGCTCTCAACAAATAATTAACAATTACATATGTTTAAAACCATTTGACTAAGTCGAAATCCATCTAAATTAATGTTTTATTTTAAGATGGTATATTCTCGTCGGTTTTGGGCGATATAATAATTTAATTAATTGTTATTTTTACTGTGTATGATTTTTATTGACAACTGTTTATTATAAACAAATTAATTGCATTTAACCTTTTTCATTAACGGTTATGTGCAAGTTGTAACGTTTGTTTTTTTTCGAAATAAACTTAATCGAGAAAATTTTTATTAATAATTTATTATGAACAATTTCGAATCAGTTTTATTCATATAATATTCGGCCTCGCTCTGGGTTATGCTACCCCAAAAAACGTTTAGTTCCGTCGCATCGGGGTTGAATAGTCGTTCGTTTTTCCTAGGAGAATAAATCTCTTCTTCGTTGATTTTTATTACTGAAGGAATAACTGTTGATATGTTAATATTTTTATTATGGTTCGAAACTGATAAATTATATGATAATGTCGATTCGAAATTGTTCATATTAAATAATTAATAAGAATTTTCTCGATTAAGTTTATTTCGAAAAAAAACAAACGTTACAACTTGCACATAACCATTAATGAAAAAGGTTAAATGCAATTAATTTGTTTATAATAAACAGTTGTCAATAAAAATCATACACAGTAAAAATAACAATTAATCAAATTATTATATCGCCCAAAACCGACGAGAATATACCATCTTAAAATAAAACATTAATTTAGATGGATTTCGACTTGGTCAAATGGTTTTAAACATATGTAATTGTTAATTATTTGTTGAGAGCTTTAATTTAAAAAAAAAAAGAAGCAATTCGGTTCAATAGAAGCCGAGATAACGTTATTTTTTCCAGTGCGCTTCATTTTGAAAAGTCAATTTCAAGTTTTTCGAGCGGCCGGAACAGCTCGCCTCGGCCTTCCCCCACTCCGCTACCCATGCGAGTGTATGACAGAGTCAGAATGTTTTGTTAGTTAATAATATTATCGTTGCAAAAATAACGGTGATTGATAGTTGCATTCGTTTACATATAAAAGTTCAACATTTCGTTCGAATGTATACCAAATTTCAGCTTTTAATGTTTATAAACAAAGGCGTGGTGATTTTTTAAAAAAAAAAGCCTAACTTCGTTTCCAATATAGTTAAAGAGGTCAATTTTTTTTTAAAATTTGCGTAAAAATGCAAGGAACAAGATGCCGAAATTCGATTTGACTTACGACTTCTGGTTCGGCAGATAAGTCAATTTGTTTATAAGAATTTTCGTACACATTTATATCTGGTGTTTATTTTTCATGTCTTTATGAAAAAATTATTGTTTTTATTGTTGCAAATTGACTGGGAGGTCTCTACCTTTAATTTGCGCTGTGTCTGGTCTTCGTACGTTGAGCCAACTCAAAGTTATTTAACAATCACTAGGGGAGTGTTTTTTAATAAACAAATGCAATATCTCGATAAATAATGCACTTAGCGAGATTTTGAAAAATGCATTGGATTCTGCGTAACGAGGGCTACATTTTCTCAAGATTTCATTGCCGTAGCACGTTTTAATAAATAATTATAAACAATTGTAAAAACGGCCACTTTTAGAGGTTTTTTCGACCTAGAGAATAAACAAATGGACGAAAAAATATGAAAAAAATACCAGAATAAAGGTCTTGAAAATGCCTACAACTTTTGTTTGAAACATTTTATCGTAAAACTTATACTTTACGAGTTAAAAAATATAATATGCTTTTTTGCATTTTTAAAGGCTTATAAACAAAAACGCAGGAACAAAAAACAGTGGCATTTTATGAAAATTAGTTGTTTAGGGTACCCAAAATAAGAATCCGTCGTAAAATTCTGGTTGCGAATTTTTTTTTTTCAAAACCTTTATTGATTGGACTAGTGTCTATCTTCTTTGCTTGAAGTATTGAACAGGTATCGCATTTGCTCAAACCCCAAAGAATAGTACATGAGGGTCGTAAAGATTACGCTTGCGACGTTCGTGCAAAAAAATGTGTTTATTCAAGCAGTTCAAGCAGACACAAAAAAACCATCTACAAAAGTCGCAAGTACAACAAATGGTAGAAGAAATATGAAAAAAATCAAATTTACTTTTGCACGTAAGAACAGTCTACGAAGGTCGCAGAGATTATGCATGCCTCAATTGCGAAAGAAAACTTGGTCTAAAATCAGATTTTTTAAAACACCGAAGAACAGTCCATGAAAATCGGAATTATTTTGCATGTGACGAGTTCCAGAAGAAATTTGGGGATCGAAGCAATTTTATAAAACATAAAAAAATTTATAAAAAATAGTCCACGAATGTTTAAAAGGTCACGAATGTGGTAACCATGTTCCTACTGAAAAAACCAAAGTGGAAACAATTTGATAATTTAATTAACTTCAAAAAATTTTGCCAATAATTCTGTAAAACTATTGAAATTGTTTTTTTTTGTAGTGCCTTTATAAATTCACAATTTCATTTGAATATTTTTGTTTTTCCAAAAATGACAAAATAAAATTTGCGAGGAAGTGGCACTGTTTCTTATTTACCACTGAGAACGTAGCGCACTTGCAAAAACGAAATTTTTGGCAATTTTTATAAATAAAATTCATTGACCATCAGTGAAATTTTTAGTGTATAGTCGTTCATTTTCAGTAATATTTTATAATTTTACATTGGCAATACTAATGTATTTCATACATAATAAATTATGATAATTTGTCAGCTAAATTTGGTTTCATCAACTGAACAATAAATTACCTTATTTGTAGAAAAAAAATTGGAGATCGCGATAGATCGTCCTCAACATCGTAGTATTTTTTTGAATTTTGCTTAGATGATCTGAGGCATATTACAAAACATGCCACTCTCTCGTTTTTTTTTAATATCAAATTCAAGATCTTTTTACTATCATTATTATCTATTTACTATCATTAATAATTAAAATTTACTATAATTATTTTTAAAATGATTAATTTATTAATTGCAATTGAAAAATTACAGATTTAAGAAATCTTAAAACTGACAGAAAACGCAGGTTTTACTATAGATGAATGTAAAGATATGACTGAATTTTTACAATCTGAATTTGTTGACGGTTGTAGACTTTTTTATCCTGATAAAACTGATGCCACGACATTCTGGGCTTATTTTAATAATTCTAGAGGAAAAAATATTGGATACTTGACCACTTTCTTTATTTTATTTTATAAATAACTCATAACAATTCATACTGTTAATATTATTTGCTTTCACGAGACCTGATTACTTCTTGTCTTCAGAAAGAAAGAAAAATAAAATATGTGATATATTCAATAGAGACAAAGTTTATGGTAGTGACCTTTGTCCTGTTATTTTTTATGGTAAATTGCAATAAAGGAATTAAACAAATTAAATAAATTAAATAAATTAAATAAATTAGATAAATTAAATGAAATTTTTCTTTTTTAAAAATGTAAAATTCAATAGAAAATTACACTCTTTATTGTAGTTCATCTGACACCATATTTATGACTTAACATCTAACTAATTTACAGTTGATAAAAATAATTATGAAAATCAGTTCTAATCTTCACCAGCTGGTATAGCATCTTCTAATCGTTTGATAAATTTAACTCTTAGTTCAGTGACACTATCATTTTTTAATTGATCTTGCACAAACCAAGCAGCAATCTCCATTTGTACCATTTCGCAAGCACCCCTCAATACTCCTGGTAGAAGGTTACAATATTTCAAGTTCAAGCAATGGTCTGGTAATTCCACAAATTCAGACATAGGATTCGTTTCAAAACATAGACTGAACTCATCACCAGCCACATTCCAATTAGTTATGCTTGGAGTGATTCCTAAAAATATTTTGAATCCACTTTGGATTTTTTCTGCAGTGTCCTTAAAGTCATAACACCTTCCAGATCCTGTACGTGCCAAAAAATCTTCTATTAACCGAATACCCATGTTGTATCCCATTCTTTCCAATTGCTTATTAACATCATCTACATTTTCATAATCTTTTAATAACTGAGATACAAGAGCTCCATACGTTAATGTAAAAAGTTCAGAGTTCTGAAACATAAAATTAGAATACATTTGAATTATAAAATGCTGTAAAAAATATTAATATATTTAAATGACACAATGAATAAGAAAACTTACAACTTTTTTTGCATCTAACTTTATAACATTTCTAGACATGATGTTAACTATTGGTATTGGGAAGATTTAATAACAAATAGCCTTATACTGTGTAATTGTATAGCTATTTATGGTTGCAAATGGAACAAAAAAGTCTATTTTTTTAAAATCGTAACCCCAAAACAATAACAATCGACCACTGTCAGACTGATATAAACATCCACTGATGTACGAATTGGTTCTTCATCTGTCAACTCATTGTATGCAAGTGGATTATGCTAGAGTCGGACGGAATATGTACGATTCACGCCACCGCCCACCGCAGTCACCATCGGGCCGGGCGGCTGTCCATTGCGCATGGAGCATTACGCACGACAACGCACGAAAATTGAAAAATTCAAAATTGTATTATCATTTCAAATTTTACTCACTGAAGTTTTCATGAAATACATTTTCTTTTTAATTATTTGTTGCGCTTTAAAAGAAATTTTGAAACGGACGCGCTTTACCTTAGTAAACGTAAATGAAACGTCATCGTGAATCGATAAATCAAAGCACAACAAATAAAAAGAAAATGTATTTCATGAAAACGTAGATAAATTTGCATTACGTGAGAGATCAGCAAGTAAGTTGAAATTTTTCGTCAAAAGTATCAGCGCGTGGCTCGACCGTGCGATTACAAAAAAAAAACAAAAGACGAGATTCATCTGCCGAGAAAATCAAAACCAAAGCAAATATCGAGGCCACTTTTAATGAAAGTTCCTACTAGAGGCGTAGGTGCAAACGAAAGTTGCGCGCATCAACCGAAACGAGGCTGCTGCACGAAGTCGAAAGCTCGCGAAGCAATATAATTATACTTATGCGGAATTTAGCATAAGTATACGTGCACCTGTCGAAGACATGGAATCTTTTTTATCCGGGCCCGATGAATCGTCTGGGAATTGTCTTATCGTCGAGCGAATTACAATCAGTTGTTAATATAAAATTATTACGAGTTCATGATAAACTAATTCGTAAATTTCAACGTGGCAACGGGGACGACAACGTATCAGGCAGCATCGAACGCAGCATATCGAGAAAAACTTGACAGATGTATATTCAAAATAACGTTTATTATAAACTCGAATGTATTCGAGGGCTCCGAAAAAAGACGAAGAGAGTCTCTCGTTGCTTCAGCGCGACGGCGGCGGTTCGCCGCTCTCTCTCTCTCTCTCTCTCTCTCTCTCACTTTTATAATCTCGCCGCAGTTACTGGTGTATACGGAGATAGCTCTCGCTGCTCCCATATAGTTCGCGCAGCAGTCACGACGACGGCAGCAGATCGTACACACACACATATACGTATTTAAGCACCTCACTCCGCTCGGCGACTCCGTATATACATACTGTATATATTCTGCGTGTGCAGAGAGCAACGAAATTTCGCGTGTCTATATGGACGTGCTGTTCATGTGTGCGTGTGCGTGAGCGTAAACTCATAATAGCGTGGCGCAGAGCGTCATTAAAGCGCCGAGAAAGAGAGTGCGAGTGAGCGAGGTACATATAAGATACACACGAGTCAGTCTTGGCGAAAACCTCGCAGCCGCCGCAATCTGCTTTTCTGCTGCTGCTGCTGCCGCTATCTCGTATATATAGCTCTGACACAGTGATTCGAGTGAGGCTCGAGGAGCAGCTCGCGAAGTATATCGAAAAAAACGACGCACACGCTATTTTGGCGGCGGCTGCTACTGCTGCTGCTGCAGTGACTCCCTGAATTTTCGTCGTTTCCAACGAAACAGTTTTGACTCCGATACGTAGTACTGTCGAAAAAGAAAAGGGACTTCTCTCTCCTACGTTAATAAAACATATACAACGGTACATATACATATACGTGTATCAGTGTGAGACCGAAACAACACACGGCCAGCAGAGCAACAATGTCCTACGAAACGAGTGAGTACTACATTTACGAAACTGCACTCGGTTCACGAGCGTAATAAAAATAATTGCGAACCCCCTTTTTTTTTCGTCCGTACCGTTAAAATTACATATTATACCTGCGGCACTCGACTGTTTATACGCACGCATTGTATGCCGCTGTGTACGCGATATTTATACGCGGCGTTTGGAGTAAAGTTATATTAGCGTCGATGTCTGCTAGATATATATAACATGACTCACGCCGACGACGACGACGATACGAGGCCTCGTTTCCGAGGTTTTCGTGCCTCGTTTCATATTATGTACACAGCCGTCGAAAAATAATACACTGCTCCGATCGGCGTGTCTTCGTTCGTTAAATTTTAAATCATTGCTTGTACGGGAGCCGCGATTGACGCATATAACGTGCGATGCGCGAGATTAAGTGCACACACGAGTTTTGAACGTCTAGCCGGCTGCAGCCGTGTGTGCGTATGGGTGTCCACAAGCGTGCACTTCCTCCAATGCGTATATACGCTTACATTGCTCATATAGGTATGTGTATCGTTAGTACGTGCAAATGTGTCGCGAACACGTCACGCCGACGCGCGAGAATGAATTCGCGTTGTTCGTGTGCAGCAGTCGATTCGGGCTTACTCTCTATATAATATACGCACGAGTTTCGATTTGTTTGCGGTTTTTTATGCCGTATCCTTTTGTGTGCGCGCGGCGATGAAATTACCTGCCTCGCAGCTCGGCAATGATAATGATTCGATGACATTTGGAACACGCAACGCTTTCTGGAGAAAAATCGAGCCAACGTTAGGCCGCGGGGGAATCGATCGATCGTCGTCGTCGCCGTCGTCTAAAAACGAACGACTGCCCGTAATAAATATAGATCACGCCGCGACGAGTGAAAAAGAAACAAGAACGAGCAGCTCGCGATTTTTCGATGCGCGACGCAACGTTATCCGCGCGACGATCGTGTGTCAATTATAAAAAAAAAGAGCAGCCGAGTCCGCGCACACGCCTATACTTATTATATATCGTTTATAACGAGTGCGTCCACTTCGATAAGACGCGCCTATAACGATCTCTCGTTTATATCATAATAATGTACGATGATCGTTGCGTTTTATCTACAAACCGAAAAATCAGCAGCAGCAACAACAACCAACGACAAAAAAAAACCCAATCGATTTGGTGATTCGTTTTTTTTTTTTTTATACACAACAAAAGTCGCGAGTTTAACAACGAACATAATTCCTTTCTCTCTCTCTCTCTTCAACCGTCCATAAAATTCGTCGGTCTCGAGAGTCTTGAAAATGTATTTCGAGAGATAGGACGTATGCACGCAGAGTTGACAAAGTCCTAATCATAGCATAATGTTGCATTTACGAAAATAGTGCTCGGGTGCACACGCTCCGTGCGATGTGGATGCACTCCTAACTCTCTCTCTCTCTCTCTCTCTCGTTCTCTCGCGAATGTCGCACCGGATATTTCGATCTGGTTGCCTGCCAAGAATCGAGGTGTTACACGACGTCAGCTAGATAGAGAGAGAAATTTTCGTTTCGTTTTCTTCGTCGATGTTGTTGTTGTTGTTGCTGTTTTGCATTTTTGATATTTTTGCCTCTCTTCGTTCATCGTATTATTATTATTATATATACGATCAAAGCTCGGCGTGGAGCTTTACGAGCGCGTTACGCGCTCACTTTTCATTCCGAATTCCTCGATTCGAACGCTGTAATACATATATATGCGTCTATCTTCCGCGCAGAGTACATCTTCGCGACGCTGCCGCGCACGGCCAGGGGCCAGCCCCTGGTGCTCGGCGGCGATCCCAAGGGCAAGAACTTCCTCTACACGAACGGCAACAGCGTGATCATACGCAACATCGATAATCCGGCGATCGCCGACATCTACACGGAGCACTCGTGCCCGGTGAACGTGGCCAAGTACTCGCCCAGCGGCTTCTACATCGCCTCGGGAGATCAGTCGGGCAAGGTGCGCATCTGGGACACGGTCAACAAGGAGCACATACTGAAGAACGAGTTCCATCCGATCGGGGGGCCGATCAAGGACATCGCCTGGTCGCCCGACAGCCAGCGCATGGTCGTGGTGGGCGAGGGACGCGAGCGCTTCGGCCACGTGTTCATGGCCGAGACCGGCACCTCCGTCGGCGAGATATCCGGCCAGAGCAAGCCCATCAACTCGTGCGACTTCAGGCCCGCGAGGCCCTTCAGGCTCGTCACCGGCAGCGAGGACAACACCATCGCCGTCTTCGAGGGTCCCCCCTTCAAGTTCAAGTAAGGCTAGACATTATCATCCGCGTCGTGTATCTGCTGTTTGTTTTTCGATGTTGCATTTTTTGTTCTATCCGATCGACAGGATGACCAAGCAGGAGCACTCGCGCTTCGTGCAGGCGGTCAGATACTCGCCGTCCGGGCATCTCTTCGCCTCGGCCGGATTCGACGGCAAGGTCTATCTGTACGACGGAACGAGCAGCGAACTGGTCGGCGAGGTGGGCTCGCCCGCTCACCAGGGCGGCGTCTACGGGCTCGCCTGGAAGCCCGACGGCACTCAGCTACTCACCTGCTCCGGGGACAAGACCTGCAAGCTCTGGGACGTCGAGACGAGGACCCTCGTCGACGAGTTCGTCATGGGCAATACGGTGGACGATCAGCAGGTATAACGATTCGATTATTGATATAATATACAGTGCAGTCGTTCGCTCCGAAGAGAGACTGATTAATTTTTTGTTTACACAGGTGAGCTGTCTGTGGCAAGGCAATCACGTGCTGTCCGTGTCGCTCAGCGGATTCATCAACTATCTCGACCTGAACAATCCGCTGAAGCCGCTGCGCATAATCAAGGGCCACAACAAGCCCATCACAGTATTAACCACGAGCCTGGACAAGAGCACGATCTACACGGGCTCGCACGACGGCTACGTGACCAGCTGGAAGTCGGCTACGGGCGAGAACGATCGCGTCCAAGGCCAGGGCCACGGCAATCAGATCAACGGCATGAAAGCCGGCGCCGATCTCGTCTACACGGCCGGCATCGATGACACACTTCGCACTTTCGACATAGCCACCAATTCGTACGAGAACACGCAGGTGCTGAGGCTTGGATCGCAGCCCAGAGGTTTGGATATTTATAACGGTATGGTGATCGTCTCCGCTGTAAAACAGGTATATACGTGTATACTATATACGCCAACTTTGAGAATTACCGATAATTCTGGCTTTTCGTTCGAGTAACGTTGAATGTGTTGTCGTTTTCGTTAGCTCGTGGTCACGAAGGAGGGTAGAAAATTGTCCGGCTTACCGATCAATTACGATCCGTCTAGCGTCAGTGTCAATCAAGAGACCGGCGACGTCGCCGTTGGCTCGAATTCCGATAACAAGGTGTACGTTTACACTTTGGACGGTAGCAATTTGACGCCGAAGGTGGAGCTGCAGCATCAAGGCCCAGTCACCGACGTATCCTTCAGTCCCGATAACAAGTATTTGGTGGCCTGCGACGGCAATCGCAAAGTTATTCTGTACGTCGCGCCGGAATATAAGGTAAACTCGATTCACTCCGAATATATTTTTTTGCGTCGCTCATTGACACAACTAACTGCTTTGTATGATAGAAATGAACTAACCCGCTTGATTTTTTTTTAACGCTTTGCCTAATGATAGACGGTGAGTAAAATTCCAAGATAATTCAATTTTAATTAAAATATGAATTATTCAATAAGTGCCTTTGTTGATTCTAATTCAATCTATTTTAATTAAAGCTGGCCCACAACAAAGAATGGGGCTTCCACAGTGCCAGAGTCAACTCTGTAGCTTGGAGTCCAGAGTCGAATATGGTTGCCAGTGGAAGTCTGGATACAACCATTATCATTTGGAGTGTTACTAATCCCGCGAAACACACAATCATCAAAAGTGAGTAAAGCCATTAATTTTAATTCAACTTGAATAATTTCAATTCAACATCGTGATCGTTTTTTTATCCGTCTAGATGCTCACTCGCAAAGTCAAATTACTCAACTTAGATGGTTGGACGAGGAGACGGTGATTTCCGTTGGACAAGACTGCAACACGAAAATATGGCGCGTAGAAAAAATCTGATTGAACTGAGGGGGAGAAAATCTGTTTTTTGTTCAATATTTTTCAATGAAGAACAGCTCATCATTAATAATGGATGCATTTTATTTTACTTCATAGGTATTTTTGAATTTAATCGAGTACTTTAAATCGAAATAATGGCACTGCATTATTAATTTTTAATGTGACAATTTATACATTAGTCAAAATTACTATTGTTTCGATTCCGTATTATTTTCAATACGTTACGGATCAAATATTTGTTGATTTTATTCTACCATCATTATTGTAAATTAGAAATGATTTTTTTTTTCTAAAACGTATTCAAAAATAATTTGGATTATAAATTTGTTTTCTTTTCTCAATAATAACAATTATTGATTTCGATAAAATTAATAATAATTATAATAATAATTGTTATTAAGTATAATTTTATATCATCATAAATTTTATAAACTATATACAAATAGTATATATATTATTTATCTATAAACAGATAATTCGAAGCTTTGGAATTGTTTTTCTTTTTTCGTCTCCTCCTAAAAACTAAACGTTCGCGACTAAAAATTTACATACAATATAATATTCAATATCTTCACGAGATCCAACAAATATTAAAACGAATTAACAATTATATATATATATGTCGTTTAAGCAAACAAAGTAACAATTAATGAACACTAAAGGGGGATACCGTAAGAAGGAACTTGCCTCTCGTCTCAATCGATTACGTCACAAATTATAATAAACTACACATCACATTATACGGCTCTCGAATCGATAGTGGGAGAACGCATCGAGAAATGAAGTTTGCACGATCGTCCCACTACTACTAGGGTTTGCTCGTCGTCGTCGGCGTCGTTGTCGCCGCCGCCGTTGTGCTCGTGGACGTCGCTGCCGACGCCGCCGCCGCCGCCGTCGTCGCATTGTGATACTTGGCCCTCTTCTGCTGGGAATTGACGGGCGGATGCCGATAGGACACGTGCTTCCTCAGGGCGTCTCGCGAGCGAGACACGTGGGAGCAGGCGACGCAGCTGTACGAGCTGTTGCTGTGCGTCTCCATGTGCACCCGCAAATTGTACTGATTGCTCAGCTGCTTGCCGCATATGAGGCAAGTGACGCTGGTCTTGTTGCAGCCGCCGCCGGAGGCTCGACTGCTCGCCGGGGCCGACGACGACGCTGGAGCCGGAGCCGCAGCTACTGGCATCTGTGGCGGAGGCGGTGGTGGCGGTGGCGGCTGCTGCTGTGCCACTGACCCCGCCGTCGTCGCCACCGCCGACGCGATGAACGATTTGTAATTCGGATCGGCAGCGAGCACCGACGTTTTGGCGTTGTCCAGCAGCTCTTCCTTCAGGATCAGCGGATGGCAGTGCGATGCCGCAGCAGCAGCGGCAGCAGCAGCCGCCGCCGCCGCCGCAGCCTCGAGCTTGAAACTCGTCGCTCTTCTCTCCCGCTGGTTGAGCTTCGCGTTGATGGAATAGTAGGGCTTGATCTTCAAACTGTAGGGCAGCAGTTCGTTGCCGATCTCGCTCAGGGCATTGGAATTGGAATCGGACTCGTGCACGGCGTCGGGGTGCATGTGTCGTTCGAGTCCCTCGACGCCGGGGAAATCCGCCGAGGACATCGTCTCCGCGATCGACGACGACTCGTGCTGTTGCAGCATATCGGCCTGCGTCATGTCGTCGTGGTCCTTGTTATTGCTCGAGTCGTTTTTCGAGACGCTACTGTGGTGCTGGTGTTGATGGTGGTGCAAATCGAATTTTTCCGATGACGACCGGTGGTGAAAACTTTTGCCGGAGTTCTCTTCGTGGATGCCTGGGTGCTCGAGCGTCTGGTTATTTTCGTATCTCGATGCTTTCTGGAAGACAAATCGGATCGTTTTAATCGAGGGCGCGCATTACTGGGCTTTAGTTGATTCGAGAAAAAAATATTACGCGACTATACATGAACAAAAAATTATTTTACATAGTTTTTAATTATTCAAAAAAATCGTAATTACTATTTTTACAGGTAGAAATTAATGGCAATTATCTTTGAAAAAAAGCATATCACATTTTTTTTACATGGCATCAAAGTTATTTTCAATAAAATAATGTTAAGATAAAATAAAGAAAAACTGATATAAGCATTGTAATATTATCAGTACCTTTGGAGCATACACATAACATGTTTGTTTTTCTACTGGCAGCGCTTAAGAAGGATAATCCAGTTTTTGTTTTGTTTATTTGGTTCGGGATTTGTTGCTGCTTTGCACTCTCACTTTTATATTGTTTGTTGAAACACACACTTAACGATTCTTGATCTCGTGAGGTATCGTTTTTTTTTTGTTGGTTTTTAGCTTGTTTGTAGTTGTTGTTTTATTATTGTCGTTTTGTTGTTCTGTTTTTTTTTTTATACATTTATTTTCTCAAATTCACTATCATTGCTCTCTCGCAGTCGGCGGCGACCATCGTCGTCGTCATTGATAATACAATTGACTCAATGACAGTGAATAAGATGTATTCGAGGTATGGTCGGATATTGAGAGTGGTTTATTGAGATTTTCGTGCTTAAGTCACCTGAACAACAAAAACAACGACGCAAAATCGTTCGATTTTAATAATTGTTAAACAAAGATTACGATAGTTTACGAGAAAAAAAGTGATATTAAATTGATGAATGATAGAGATGATCGAATTCGGCTATTGTATATTTATGAAATATTTATATAACGGATGAACAAAGCGCGTAGTTGTCATGCAGTGAATCGTGTGGATCGGGATATCTTTCGGATTTTTTCGAGGATCGATGAAGTTCGTGAATTCGATCACTGTAGTATGAAACATGGGTGCAATCGAAGGATGGATGAAAATCGAGCGAGAGAGAGACTTGGCGTTACGTTACCCCCGCGATGTCGGCCAAGCCGCGAATGTGTAGCGCGTCGGCCATGGCGAGGAGCGCCGGCAGCTGCTCCTGGTAGATGTTCACCTCGCCGTTGTACATGAAGGTGACGAGGGCGCAGAGATTCGCGTACTCCATGCCCGGCAGCACGATCACTGGGTGCTGCAGACTGTTCATGTCCTGTACACGCGATCAAGGGGGGGTATATACATGAGAAAAGATAAAAACAGGCAGAAAATCGTATATATATATGGAGGGATGATTTTGTTGTATACTTTGAACAATTCTTTGAAGTAGTAGCTGCAGGCGGAGAGTATGAGGCGGTGGGCGTGCACGTGTCGGCCGCCGGCGCTGAGGGTGACGTCCGTCAGGTAACCGCCGTCGAGGAGCTTGGGCAGCGAGCTCAGCAGCGTGTTCTGGAAGTTGTGCCAGCGCAGGCAGAACTGCTGCTGTCCCTCCATTTTTTATTATTTTATATCACACGAGGCCTGGAAAAACAATCGGATGAAAGTGAGCTTGGATCCTTGCCGATCTTCGACGCGCGTATATATACGCGCGCGGACGGACTGTTTTTCCAAGAGAGCTGACGCGAGTAAACAAGCCGAGCGAGAGAGAAGACGGCTTTGCTCAGCGAGGCACATGTGCGCAAGCACGCACACGTACACACACACACACACTCGCGCGTCGCTCCGCTTTTTGTAAATCGCGTTAAAGAACGATCGGATGCGTTGTCGATGCACAATTTTATACTTATACGGGGAACGTAGGCGCGTTACACTTTGCCGATCGCCTCGCAAGCTCGCTTAGCTCCGCAATTGCTCCACAGAGAGCTTGCAGCCGCCAGCCAGCCAGCCAGCGAGTCGGACGGGGTATACGCTGCGTGCACGTATGAAACTCGACACTCGATACTTATCTGGCTCGAACCTATTTATTTGATCGGAGGCAGCAGTCGTGTGTTTGTGCGTGCGTGTGTGCCGTCGTCGTCGAGCTTTAAAGCGCGCATATCTTTCAAGCCTAGAGTAGTAAAGCTCCGCATGCGTGTGTGCGTGTGTATATAATGCAGTATAGAACCAAGAGAGCAGCAGCAGGTTCCAGCCAAGTCTATTATTGTCGCTCTCAAGCTTCATCTCTCGCTCAGCGGGCAGCGGTGCACACGACGATATATAGCCGAGAAAGAGCCAATGCAAAGACGACGGCCGATGCGTAACTCTCTCTCGCCGAACGCGTGCATGGCATGACACATATACAGGCATAGGCCAAATGTATATACTTGGACAGACAGATAGAAAAGGTTATAGCTGCTGCTGCTGCTGCTGCTGTTGCTGCCGCGCGGAGCTGCGAAGCTCTAATAAAGAGCCTGGAGCAAGGTGAAACTCGCACACGCACACGCGCACACACTCGTGCAGATGCACGCGTAAGCGGCCTGCAAGCTCTCGAATATATACCGCGCGCGATTGCGTCGACACACACACGGCTTCTATATAAAAGCTCGATCGACAAGCGGGCCGAATGAATTATTGCATCTTTTGTATTTTATTTATATATGTGTATATCGTTGCGCTCGAATGTTGCTCGCGAGCGAAGAGGCTGAGTCGCGTCGTTAATCATATTTATTATACGAGCAGCAGCAGCAGCGCTCGACCGCATATTTTTTTTTCTTCCATCGAACGATCCATCGATCCGAGCTTTTTTTTTTGATCGAGTAAAGTTGAACTTACTTTCTATTCAATTTTCAAGTCCAACGACGATTTTTTACGTGCAGAGCTTTCTCGATTATGCGAACGACACTTGTTTTTTATTTTATTTTTACACTCGCGATGATCAACTTAACTACGATCACTTATTTTTCTTCCCTTTTTTTTTTTATGTAACAACCACACGCATACGTGCACTTTTTGATCGACGCGTCGATTGAACCACTCGGTAAAGCGCGATCGCACCTTTGAACTTTCGATAACGCACAATTTTTAGACACGACGGAGTGCCGATCGCTATTTACCCTTTCGCGTTACGCGCATATTTTTCTATTTTCTTCTCCAACAGGTACGTGTCCGTGTAAGCGCGTGGACCGTACGTAGGCAGCAGTAGCAGTAGTAGAATACACTTTATAATATATACGTTATGTTAAAACTAAATATATATACAGGGCAAAAATCGTGCGCTGCAACTCGGCGGTTGCGATCTCGTCGACTGTAGCGCAAAACGCACACGATCTCGCGCCGAGGCTCCTCCACGCTATAACAATTCGGCGCTTCTTCTTCGGACCTGCTGCAGGCACGCACTGCACTACTGCTACTACTACTACTACTGCACGTAATTTTTGACTTGCACAAGTCGGCGCGTATATGTTGTAATGATTATTTATATATAGGATCGAGTGAGTGAGAGAGAGAGAGAGAGAAAGAGAAATGACGAGCGCCGCTTTTGAAAGCGGGAAAAAGTCATGAGAATTTTAGTAAATGTTCGAGCAAAGTGAATGAAGTGATTCTAATTTTTTTGGTATAGATTTCGATGTCTCGGATTAAAAAGGCTGATTACCATACACAGCTGCTGTCTCAATCAGAAGGAAATTTTTCGAAAAAAATCCCTGTTCCAAAACACCGAAACCGTATGTATACCATAATGATGTAACTCCAGCCTCCAGGTGCATCAAGAGCCACGTTATAATACACATCTGATTTGATTCATATATCGATCTGTGTACGAGGACAGGCGTCGGTATATAGACAAGTCGAATAATAAACACGAGCGTAGCGCGGCAAAATTGTAACGCGTAAGTATATACAGAGTAAACAATGTGCGTATTAAAAGGGGGGGTATTTCGTAACGTATTTTTGTGAGGCAATAGGTTAATTTTGAATGAAAAATAAATTCAGAGCTCTCGGACCGCTATCTCGAGCGATCGTTATTTTTTTTTCTGTTCTCAAACCTTCCGCGCGTGCGCGTATTTTAAACAGTTCCATTATCCATACACGGTGACTCAATCTCGGCGCGAAAACAGACTCAAAACTTTCTCGGCGACCCGGGAATAAATTATATTATTTCCCAACCGCCTAACACGTGACCGCAGCAGCTTTGTGTGTATGATCGTGCGCCGCGCAACAGTATTAACCGTCGTTTCGCGTTCTCTCGCTCAGTCTCGATCGTGTGCCGCCCCGGTGTGCAGTGTGTTTTATACTACTTCGACTCGCTCGTGCCATATATATTATTGTTTGTTCTACGCCGTCATATCAGAGTTTGCTCTTGCCGAAAATGTATCTGTACGAAGACATGATGTTCGAGGCTGCGCAGGCTCATCTGCAAAAGTTCAAGACGGACGACGAGCGACGCAAGGAATTTTTCCACCTGGTGCATCGTAGCGCGATGGACACGGATCAACTGCTGAGCTTGTTGCACGCGACGTTCCCGGACGTGAGCCAGCACAGCGAGCTGCTGAGTCGGGCGATCGACAGCGACGATCGTCGCGTGGTGGAATTTCTGGTGCGCCACGACGAGCTCGTGCGCGAGCTGAAGTTCGAGGACGGACGCTCGGCCTATCATCACATCAGTCTGTACGACAAAACCAGGCGCATGTTGAAATTGTTCTTCGGGCACGTTACCGCGGACAATTGCCGCTACGAGAACGGCTTCACGTACTTTCACGGCGCTTGCTGGGTGGGCAACGTCGACGCGGTACTGGCCATGATCGCCAAGAAGCCCGAGGTCGTCAATCTCGACTCGTGGATGTTTACGCCGCTGTTCGTCGCCTGCCGATTCAGGCACGAGAGAATCGTCGAGATCCTGCTGGAGCACGGCGCGGACGTCCACGGCGAGGACATGGTGGGGAGAACGGCTCTGCACGCTCTGGCGTTGATCGTCGCGTGCGACTGTCGCGTCGACGCCAACTCGAGGGCCGCGTCGATCTGCGGCAGCAGAAAACCCCTGGGTAAAATGGTCGAGATGCTCCTCGAGAAGGGAGCCGACGTCAATGCGTGCCCGCGACTGGCGGAGAGTCCTCTGCAGATGGCGGTGTCGTATTTCGACGCGGAACTCGCGAAGAAGCTCTTGGATCACGGCGCGAGCCTCGACGGTTTGAAGAAGGACGAGCTATTCGCCCAGGAGTTCACACCCTTCGAGGTGCAAAACTTTCCCTTGACTCTGGACATCGTCGAGACGGTGAACTTTTTGAAATCGGTCGGCTTGAAGTGGGACTTGCGAGATCAACTCCGGATGCTGCGGTATTGGATGAAGCTACGAAGACAAGAGCCCGACCGTGCAGTGGTAGATTTCGATAGTAAGTCCTTCAATTTTTTAAACGTACAACGATCTCACGCGATCGATTTATCTTTCTCTCTCGTTCGTAGAATGCAAAGACGGCGCCGAGATGCTCAGCAAGGATGTATTCAACATTTATGACAAGTTAGAATTTCACATGAAACCAAAAACTGAGACGCACTTGCGGCAGCAACACGAGAAATGCGAATTGCTAAATTTGCGCATCACGTACTTCGATTTCATGAGGTACGATCTCGCGCTCGACAAGGAAGCCACGATGTTGGAGGGCATTCGGGTGAACGAGAACATCTCGCTCTATCAAATTTGTCAACTGAATTACGAGCAGGCCTACGAGATTTTGAGCGAGATCTTGAAAAACACGAAGGACTGGCGAGTGCCGGAACTGCACGACTTGCATCTGCTCAAGCCGATCGTAAAGAGACGAGTGGCGGATATTTTGATCAGGCGGCATTTGGAAACTTTCTTTATCGATCTTGAATCGACCAAGCATCGCGAATCGACTATGTCGCGCGACGATTTCAAAAAGCTTACCAGAACTATAAACTACGATGACTTGTATCGGTACTGCGAGGACAAGGATGAAAGTGATCTACCGGATTGCGTATCGATACCGACAAAAAATGCGATCAATGTTGCAAATAATTCGTAAAAACAACGACATTCGTATCTCGTACGAAATTTTTTGATAATTTTGTACCACGTGTGAATAATTAATATTTAGATATGTACTGGTCAATCGCGCATTTTGCTATAGATGAATAGTAAAATGGAATTATTGTTACTCAGCTTTGTATACTAGAAATGTAAATATTTTGACCTAGTGGAGTGGAAACTCTAGTTGCAGAATGCTGAGCAATTTCAATAAACCGAACGTTAGTGATAATACTATATCATTCAATTTTTAAAATTTCGAAAACCCTAATCTAATCATTTTCCAGCGCTTGTACGAAAATTTATATTTACAGAATACAAACATGTTTTTTTAGCAAAACGAGGCGGACTATGGCACGATTATGCTGGGAAAAACTGTACTTCTTATTCTAACACATTTTAGTAATGCACCCATTAAAATAAATTAAATAATAAATACAAAAAAGAACAGAAATTCGACTCGCTCTACTACCCAACTTTGACTTTCAAAAACTGAGCGCAAGCACAAAAATCAGCGTGAATTTACTCGCCTATGCAAATATCGTATCCTGGCGCGCGGCGTCTATTTTACAACAGAGAGCATAGGCTGTGACCAACATCGGAGTTGCGGACCTACACGCAAAAGCGCGACATCTATCCATCCGGTGATCTTTCTTCTATTCGATCAGTCGATGGCCTTTGCGTACGCAACACGAACACACATACAAACTGCATCGCAGAAGCACACATACACACACGTACTTGCGCACAAGCTGCGACGAACGCAAATCGCGGCGAGGCGACTCTTAACTTTGCAGGTCGGCCCGCCGCGAGTATATATAGTATAAAAGTGCGCATGTGTGTGTACAAGTTTTATACGACTGCACACACGCGTGTGCTTGCGACGGCCGACGACTACGACCGACGACGATCGTACCTTACACATATATATGCGCGCGTAATAAAATATATAACTATATATATAGGATACGATTCTCCCTTTTTGCATTAAGCGCTCGGCACTGCGAAGCGGCGTATTATACATATATATCGCTTGCAGTCGTCCGAGGCTCGACCGCGTATACGAGAGACCCGCGCTTTAGCTGACTGCAGTGTGTGCGTGCTAACGAGCGAACCTCCAACAACGGCATTTAAAGTTGTAAAAGAACAGCGCAACTCGTTAAAACAGCATTCGCTCGTTATTTTTCATGTACAGTGCTCTGCGTGGTGCGCGTCGAGTAACCAATAGAAACATTAATAATAATTGAAAAAAAAAACAACCTATCTCGACTGCTCCGCAAGGCGCGGAACGCGCAGACAGGCTCGTACAAACGCACACAAGCACCTACTACTATACACAAAACGCCACAGCGCAGTCACACACACACACATACGTACGTACGATACGCATACAAACACAAAATCGCACTCTCTCAGACAGAGAGGCAATTTTTTGACGGCGACGACGACGACGCGCGAGACTCTGTGCCTGCCTTTTAGCTCTCTCTCTCTCTTTCTGCACACGCTTCGTCCGTAAGACCAGTGCGTGACTGCGAAGAAAAAAGAAAAGCAAAACAACAAACAAACGAGGCAAGAAAAAAAAACAACGGAATTATCAAAACAAAAATTAACTGTGCAGCTGGTGCGAGACTCGCCACAGTGTGTGTCTCTGTGTGCGTGCGTGTGCGTTCTATAGTACAGCCAGCAGCATACGAGCCAGCCAAGCAACACAGCCGAGCAGTTATAAAGCAGTGTACGATATAGGTTCTCGCACGAGAGTTATCGTCGTCTCGTATAGTACTGCACGCAGGATCGCAGCGATACCGTATCGTTCCGAAAAAAAAGGGATTTACGAATAGTTCGCACGAGACGAGAGCCCACGGGTAAAAGGACTGCTGCTTGCGTCTGTCTCTGCGGAATCGAGAAGGGAAGCGCGCGTGTGTGTGGTTCTGCTCCGCTGCTGTATTTCAACGATAATAATAACAATAACGACACCATCGTCATCGGGGCATCGTCGTCATCCCCGCAGCGCAAGTGCGAGTTTAAGTGAATTGTTCTCGTCTCCACAATTGAAACCCGAGAAATAAGAGCCGATCAGTCTATTGGCAAGCGTGGCTAATCAAGGTACCAAAAGGTGGGTCTCACTCTCTCTCTCTCCTCTTCTATCGCTATCGTCATCATTATTATTATTAACTACGCCTCGCGATAAGCGCATCCTTCGTACTGGCTCTTTCATTTCGATTCCGTACGTATCGTAAATTGTCGAGTCAATATTGGCCCGTTTGTAACATCGGTGCTCGCGTTTTGGCGCAGGCATTATCTCTACTGCTCTTGGGTTTTTAGCTGCACTATATATAGATATAGTCGCGCACGCATGCGAGAGAGACTGCTGCTTGCTGCTGCTGGTATAAGCGTGTTATATATATACCACTATGGGCACATACCACCGCCTTCTCCTCGTCTCTCTCTGTCTCTCTTTGCGCCTTCGTGTTCGCGTTCCGTCCCGTTCTCGTCTCGCGCGAAATGCTTCTGTGTCAGTGCGCGTCTAAAATATAAGTCTGTGTGCGCGTGTATGTGTGTTTTGCCGCATACACTCGTTCGTACAGAGACAGAGACGCAGTCACACACATATATATGTGTGTGTCGTATCACAAATATACACATATATAAGCTCTAATGTGATTCCTCGCCGCTAGCAGCAGCAGCACCAGCAGAGTACCTATAATGTTGTAGCACTGCTGCGCTGCGAAAGAGAGAATCGTCGTCTTCGTCGCCGCGCGCTGTCTTTCTGGCTCCGCTGCTGCTAGCTCTGTGCCTGCTGCCGTGTCTCCTTCGCACTTTTCATACGCACGTTTGTTCTTTCCCGTATTAATATCGGGCATTTTGTCGCCAAAGTCAGTCAGTGCCTCTCTCTCTCTCTCTCTCTCTCTCTCTCTCTGTCTCACTCACCTATAGCTCTTTTTTTGCAATATAATAATTTTTAATCACAAATAGACTCGACGCAGACACAGACACACAGTGGGTATGAACCTTTTATTTTTTGTTTGCTCCTTCATTCGATCGTACGAATCTTGCTTCGAACTTATCCGAGTGTGTGTACATTGGTTATAGTGCGGTGCACGTATATACTCATATACGCGCGAGATTCGCAACTCCTATTTTTGCCTCGAATATATTGGCCCCGTCGCGTGTTCGCAGCAAGTATTGTATATAATATATATATATATGGTGGCACGGCACGATGCTACTGCTGAACTGTAAGCTTTTCGCGGGGCGCCTATATTTGCTTCCGCGAAAGAAGTACATCGTGGAACAACCTCCGAGATAACGACCTATCCTCTATTTCCCTCCTTAGGCGTCTTGCGTTATCGTGCAATGCTTCAACTCGCGAAGCCACGATGAGCAAATTTTGGCTTTTGCACGGCTCGTGAACGGCTTACCTTCTTTCTTTGGACTCGCTGTGCCGCGGTACTCTTTCACGTGTTCCCTCGGCACTCGCTCGTTTATGCAAGTTTCTTTCCCTCCTTACGTATATTTTCGAGAGTGATATGTGTGCTAGTCCGTGTGTCAATCAGAACGTACACGTATACCATCCACGATTGAGCTTTGATACGCGAGTTTGCTAAAAAAAGAAATGATAACCAACGTGATTTCATCTGTTTGCAGAAAGATGAGCAGTTCGGAGGAAGTCTCGTGGATTTCATGGTTCTGCGGCCTGAAAGGCAATGAATTCTTTTGCGAGGTCTGTATACATTTTTGTCATTGTGCGTTAATCATGCACTCTTGATCATTGTAACTGATTGGGCTTTACTCCCTGCTCACAGGTCGACGAGGATTACATTCAAGACAAGTTCAACCTGACTGGTTTGAATGAACAAGTACCACACTATCGTCAAGCTCTTGACATGATACTGGATTTAGAACCAGGTAAGAAAGTTTATTTCAACTGTACTTGAGGCCATATTTATTTGATTCGAATCTCATTAGCATTTAAATGCCGTATCTGAAGAATAAGTTTAATTACGTAGTTCGGTATAAGCATTCCAAACTAAATTCTAACAAGATTTTACATGTCTCATTTCGTATTATCTTAATAAAAATTGATATTTTCTTTTAGATGAGGATCTTGATGATAACCCTAATCAATCTGATTTGATTGAGCAGGCAGCAGAAATGCTCTATGGACTTATACACGCTCGTTATATTCTCACAAATCGAGGAATCGCTCAGATGATTGAAAAATATCAAGCTGGTGATTTTGGACACTGTCCACGTGTTTATTGTGAAACACAGCCAATGCTTCCATTGGGTCTAAGTGATGTTCCCGGTGAAGCAATGGTGAAAAGCTATTGTCCTAAGTGCATGGATGTTTACACTCCAAAAAGTTCCAGACATCATCATACCGATGGAGCTTACTTTGGCACAGGTTTCCCTCATATGTTGTTTATGGTTCATCCAGAATACAGACCAAAGCGTGCAGCCAATAACTTTGTACCAAGGTTAGTTCAAAATTATTGAAATTATTCATATTAATCAAATATCATTTTACTTTGATTCAATCTAAAATTTAAAAGAATTTATTCTAAAAATTTGATCTTTTTTTAGGTTATATGGATTTAAAATTCACCCTTTAGCCTATCAAGTGCAACAACAATCTGCAGCAACCTTTAAACAACCACTGCGCACACTGACTTACAATAATGGAAAGCGCTAAGACCATCAGTATAGTTTAGAAACAAAATAATTCACAAAAATTATTTCTCCACAACAACCGAAATGAAAATCTTAATTTCGTCCTAAGGATTAAATAAAATATTATTTTTTTATATGTGAAACTCTCTTATGCTCTTTACCTGTGACATTGCGTGGCGCATATCTCTGATATTGTTAGTAAAAAAACATCGTAACTTTTATCATTGCTACGTTGGGTCTCAGCAATAACTAATTTTGATGTAGTAGAAAGCTGAAGAGAGAGCAACCATGAGGCGATATTTGTATACTTCTTTTTTAATTTTTTCGATTAAATTTAACACGACTTGAATTTGTTTCTTTAACAAATTGTACTTGCGCATGAAGTCACAGAAATATTTTGTTGATAAGTAGAAATTTTACTGCATTGAAAGAGTAATAACAGTAACGCGAGAAGGGTAAAGTGAAATAATACTATTTGATTTTAAAGAGATAATACACCGTAAGATAGTAGCTAGGACTTATTAAGAGCAATGGACGACCTAACAACAATTTGTTTGTATTGAGTCAAGAGCGTCTTTGTTATAAAGTTGCTGCCAAGTAGTTCCTAAGCTCACACGAAAGCTTTCCCTTTTATTAAAGGGGCGCGCAGGTAGCACACACATAGAGCTAGGATAACTTGAGAATGAAATTGAAATAATACAAAGTAAAATGTGCATAAACTAAATTTCTTACTGCGAAAGATAAATGGATGCAAGAAATCGCGTATCGAACAAACTGAATAATAAGTAATATGATAAAGGTCTGTAAATTCGTGAAATATATTTTGTGATCCTCTGCAATCTCTTAGTGAAATCCACTATAGTTTATATACATACACATAATTGACGTAATTGACTTTTTTACTTTGTAAACCAGTGGGTTTCATTGAGATATTTGAGATGAAAAAAAAATAAATAAAACGAGTTGGTTATAACTTGACTTGAATGTTATACTATTATTATCTAATTATACATAAAAAAAGTCAAAACTGTTTTGAAAAGATAAAAAATAAATGTTTGTGCTTATTTTACTGTTTGATTTCGTAAAGTTTCCTCAAATTGACAACATATAAGAATAATATTCCATTTACTTATTTCTACATGGTTTTTGCTAGAATAATTGCGAACAAATGGTGAATGATAAAATCGTTTCATATACGTTGTAAAGACGAAATTGTAAGATAAAAATTAACAATGAAACGAGTGAATTGCGACCATAGTGAATTGTTGCGTAGATCAACGCATTATAACGATTTCGATTTCTTTTTAATAGAGATCGTTTTTGAGTACGGAGGTTAATTATTAAATATTAGAGACAAACTATAAAATAAAAGACTTAAATTCATACACAATAAAAAAAATAATTCAAGACACATTTGTTATTAAAAAAAAAAGAAAAAGAAATAGAGTTATTATAACGATTGAAAAAAAAAGAATAAAAAAATTTTGCCGACGATGAGAAATCTGTATGATATATAAAGTATACGCAGTTCCGATCGTCGTAAATAATGTGGAAAAATGACTCGCTATTCGCGAACCAACTGAACTTCGTGTGGTACGCTTCGATTACAAGAAAAAAAGTGCATAGTAGATTTTAGGGTACATTATAAATAAGTATTTTGACACAGAATGGCATTTTTGGTTCGTTTCTCATAGATTTTATAGACGATGTATAATAAAAAAAAAATACTTATCAACGATAATAAGTTGTTGTATAACGTATATATGCAACACAAATCATCGTCGCGAGCATACAACACGAAGAAGGTACCGTTGCGTCGCACGAATATTGCGAATCGAAGTAAATAGATTTTTTTAATTATCCGAAGAGAAAAGTAAAAAAAAAAGCGACAACAATTTTTTTATTGTACCAATAATGCGTATAATAAATATTATAGTTTACAAGTACGGGCGGAGACGAGCGTTTCCGTTGTTATAATTTTTAAGCAATTATTCCTCTCTTTTTTTTGTCTCCCTACTATTACAACCGTCGACTAGAGAGATCATAGAGAAATTTTGTTGTTTGAACGACGCTACAATGTAAAATCGATAAGATCAATTTGCGATTAATACACGACTTATTTAAAAATCAATCAGTCACGAATTTTCTTTCTCACCTCATGAAACACTCAATGGAATTGCGTTTGGCCTGAAATGTAAGTTTCAAAACTCCCTCCTACGACAACGCATGCTCGAGTTTCGAGGTCTCGCATTGGCTAACCTCATTCCTCGGGCAAACGAATGCTCGCGGCTCGGCCAATCGCGTTCGACCTTTACAATTTGAATTTTTGCGTACACCGCAAAAAGGAGTCGACTGCGTCAAAAGAACCGGTACTACCCAAATACGCACAATACAAGGCGACGGCGAGGGCAGGGGCATGCGAAATTATCTCGCCAATTCGCTGCCTTTTTCGTGTATAGGGCCGCTGACATAAATAAATAAACGCTCCAAGCTTTGTTACTGTTGAGTTTTGATAATACATCGAGTTGTGCGCGCAGTGTTGTTGTGATAGACAGTCAATCGTGACGATAAACAAAAAAAAAAAAAAATTCAGTTACGGGCCCAGCAGCTGAGCAAAAACAGGTGTGCGAAAAATATAAAAGAATATGATTCTCCATGGAGTACGGAAGGAACAAAGCCGGCGGTGATTTTGCGCATTCGACAAGATCATGCCTGAACTAACCGAAATAGACTTCATGTAAAGTTTTAAAAGCCGGTGATTTTTTTGTCTCCAATTTTATTGTTATTGTTGCTGTTGTTTGATGAATTGTTGTGATTTTTTTTCGGTAAACCACGGAAAACATAGCTTCATAGTAAATATTGCGTTTGAACATTTTTTTTAGACTCGAAAAATTCGAAACGTTCAATTCCATGATAAATTTGTAGTTAATTCGGTTATTAAATATGGATGAGCATTCATTTTTGGAAAAAGACGGTGCACCGGATAATTCGATGGCCAAACGTTTGTCCGAGTCGAGACCACTTTTCAAGCCAGTTTTAGTGAAAGACATTCTAGCCGAACACGACGGCGACGATGATGACAGTGATGATGAACAAATTATCAACTCCGATAATTCAGACGAAGAATCAATTGAACTTGATGGATGTCAGCCTTTATCAGATGAGGCTGGGAATGATGTCAGTGATGAGGGTAAAGAAAATCACATAGAAAACCAAGTTTTCAATCAACCAACACATCAGGAGCATCCGATTCAGCATGCATACCACAGAAATTCTGGTGACTACCCTAGTGAATCTAAAATAGCTGGTAAAAGTAAAGAAGTTTTTGATAAGGTGTACGATCAAGAACTTGCTGCAGAACATTCTCATTACAAAAGTGCAGCCGACTATGCAGCTAGGAGAACGGACTCTTATCCAGCTGATTTTCCAACAGACAAACCCCTAAAGGTTTCCAGAAGTTCTGATGAGATGGTATCTGCATCTGAAAATGCATATGGGCCCATAAAATCACAATCACTGTATCAGTATGCAGAGGAAAGAAAATTGGCAAGAGATCTACCTCAACACAAACATAGTTTGCAGAATATTGTTGTGAAACAAGATATAGAAATTAAAGAGGAAGAACATCATAAAAAGTATGTTGTAAAACAAAAGTCCACAGAAGTTCAACAAAAACTTACTCATAATAATATGCATGCTTCTGACACTCCAATGAAACATCCTCACCTAACAACAAGACCAAATCCAAGTACATCACATAGGAATATTTTTCAAACTCCTCAAAATAAAGCTGGAAATGAATTTACCAAAAATTCATTACAAACACCAGCAACAATATTCTCACACTCATGGCACAAACAACACATGGCTCAAACACCAATGCAAAGTCAACTTTCCAGTAGGGATTCTGTAAGAACTCCAGCTGCTAATTCAATGATATCTCAGACTTCTCGTGAGACTCCAAGGTAAAGTTTAATAAAATCAGAATATAGCTTTTTATTTTAATGATTAATTATTTAATTGAAAATTGAATTTTTTAAACAGAATTTATGGGAGTGAACATAAAAGTGTTCGTAGGCCGCTTGCTGAAACCATGGGATCTAGTCAGGCTTATGGTCCCCAATTACCAAGATTGCAAGAGGTACCAAATGAGTCTCAGATGACTCCACCACTGACACAAGATACTAGCAGTGCTAGTAGGCAAGGTAATTTGTCAGAAAGAAAGTCTGTGTATAAAACTACAATTTCAAACCAAGAAATTAATAACAGACACTCGAGTAACTCAGATAAAATTAGAAGCGAAGCAAATATTCAACAAAATTTGTCAGCACCCGATAGTAGTCATTCCAGTAATTCATTTGATGAAATGAAACCAAAAACTAATCATCATAACAATGCTTACCAAAGTTCCAAGAAATTACCTAGAGTAACTGATAATTATAATAATTATCCACCAAAAGAAAGTCACAGTTCGCAGCCTGTTGCACAGACCAAATCAAGTCAGTCTGAACCTGTACCAAAAATTCAGTGTACTGTACCACAAAAGGACACCAGACAAAGTAAAATCATTACTGTAAAAGATCGACAGTATCTAGTTTTAGGTGTACTTGGGACTGGTATGAGTTGCCAAGTTGTTAGAGCTCAAGATTTATCCACTTCAGAATTAAGAGCTATAAAATGTGTTAATTTGAATAAAATGGATAGAGAGGCAGCTGAAGGATGTTTGCAAGAAATTTGTATGCTTGACAAATTGAAAGCCCCATGCATAGTTCATATGTATGATTTGTAAGTGATTAATATACTATTTTATTTAAAAAATATAAGAGGGGAACAGCTCATCGCTATAAATTAATTTCAGTGAAATAAAAGCACCTTGGGTTCATGTTGTAATGGAGATAGGAGATACAGATTTGAGTCGTTTGTTGAAATCCATGCTGCAAGAAAAAAAACAAATTCCTCTTACAATGGTTCTGTATTATTGGACTGAAATGCTAACAGCAGTTCAACATATTCACAAAAATGGTAATTAAATATCTATCAAGAAACAAGTATTTTAATATTTAGTATTAATATCTTATTCATTATTTTCAGGTGTAATACATTCTGATTTAAAGCCAGCAAATTTCTTGTTAGTTAGAGGCCGATTGAAACTTATAGATTTTGGAATAGCATCAACAATAAATTCTGATATGACCTCTGTTGTTAAAAACTCTACAATTGGAACTTTAAATTATATTAGTCCAGAGGCATTGTTGGACGTAAATGCAGGAAATAATACTAATTCTCCAACATCTCAATGTAATAAGTATAAGGTGAGTGTGATAACTTTTTATTCTAATAAATATTAAAACAGTATGATTTTTATCTGTTTTCAATAAATAATACTTTATAGATTAATCATAAATCGGACGTTTGGTCTTTGGGATGCATTTTATACGGACTTGTCTATGGTGCGACGCCATTTCATCATATTCGTCAACAGTGGGCAAAATTGAGTGCAATCACTGATCCAAAGCATAAAATTAATTATCCATCAGATAATGGAACAGAGAATGTGCCAAAAATTCTTATTGACGTTATGAAAAAGTGCCTTCAGCGTGAACCAAAAGCTAGACCATCAGTCACTGATCTTTTGGAAGTTCCCTACTTGCAGAGCAACATTGCTCGACCAGTTCCTCAAATTCCTAGTACCATAATAAAGAAAATTAGAGAAGCCCTGACGGAAGAAGAATGGAATACACTTGCTGAGGTTTGTAAAATATTATATTTCGTTTCTAATGATTGATTTTTATAATTTAAATTTATTAAAATGATGTATATTTTTTATCAAAGGTACTAGTTGAAAGAAGATGAGCAAATTGGTGTTAATCAACAATTATACAAATTGTACAAAGTATCATTTTTATTGGCTTCAAAGGATGATATTATTATTGATTTACTTTAGCCAAATGTAAAATGTATGTATAAATATTTGCGAATTTACGTATTGTTCTATTTGTAACAAGATTTCTTGAAATATTTTTTAACAAATAGTAATATTGGTGTTAATAAAACATGTAACACTACTAAACATTATATTTTTGAATCATTTTTGTAAGGAATAAATGTTTTTTCAAGTTTCCTAGTTTTTAATAGATTTTATAGTGTTTTATAGTAGATAATAAGTATTTTGTATCTACTATAATTTTACTTTAATTATGCCTTGGAAAAAATTTTGCACCCAAACTTTTACTAATCCAAAACTTTTCAAATTTATATTTTTTTACATAGTATATTCGTATGTAGTGATAAAATACATGAAATAAATTATTCATACTATATCATTTATTTTTAATTATACGAGTCTGCGTTATTTTTTACTGTCGTTTAATTGGAATCATCAAATACTATTGCGTAAAAATGAAATATTTTCGTTTGTATCATAATCAAGAAAAATTTCTTTAGATATATAAAATAAATATTGATACTCTGATAGAAAAAAAAACCTTTGTGGTAAAAATTGATATTGTGGTTTTATTAAGCCTGTTTAATTTTTAATTTACTGATTTTTCGTATCATTTCAAAACTCCATTTAGCATTAAATACAAAATATAGAAAAAATTTTAAGAGCTTATTTTCTACAATTTCAAATACTGCATGTTATGATATTTGAAAAGTAATAAAATATTAGTTATTTTTATTTTTCATTGGCTATATACGTGTAAGTATAAAATAGTTTACTGAGATAACAATCATAAAAAATTAGTTTATATATTAACTATATAAAAAATATTTGACAAATTTACATGTAATTTGAATAATCATACTTGAGTAATCAAAAATTACTTTAACAACTAATAATCACCATTAAATTTATATAATTTTAACAACTAACTCTCAAAACGATCAAGAATTTTTGTTGTATTTACTGGCAAATAATTCTTTTTCGATTTTACTCGCTGTAGTAAAAATTTAGCCAATGGTGTATTTGTTCTTTTAGTCACTGATTCCCATGACTGTATTTCATGCATGTCCGTTAGACTGAGAGTAACGTTAGTTCTTTTCTGTACAATGAACCGGCAATTTTCTTCAATCTTTTCACTTAGCTGTTTAATTTTTTCGTTATAAATGGAAACTTCGCATTTTAATTGAAAAACCTTCAGCTTGCAAAGAACGTGAAGGACCATATCCGGAAAGTAACAGCAATGACTTTGTGATGCTGTGAATTCCAGGATTAATTCGTAAACAAAATTAATCACAGAGTCACTGTAGGCATTTTGATCGACATCCGAGGGAGCTTGCAATATATTTAAAAGCAACCATGGCGATAGAGGAGACCATCGAGGATTTTTTACTCTTCTGTTGAAATCGAATTTTTCTAGTACCTGTACATTTTACCATAAAAGTTAGTTAATAAACCAAAACAATAAATTGAAAATTACAAAATCTAAAAAATTTTATACCTCCGTAAGTAGAGGTAAAACTGGAAGATATACCCCAGCATTTTCACACATTTTTATCAGCATTCGAATGCAATGAAATCTCAAAGGATAAAATTTTTGACTAGGTTTGAGCTTTATCACTGCTATTATCATCTGTAATTATTAGCAAAAATTTATAGATATATATGTATTGAGTTAAATCCAAAGTAAATATTATTTAATTCTGAAACTCACTTGTGCGACAGGATGTAGTAGTTCACGTAAAGTTGATGGTTCTTCTGACATTGAAACTACTTCAGACAAAATTTGCAGCATACTAATGAATTCCCAGTTATAAATATCTTGGCAGTACTTCTGCAAATTTAAATCTTATAATTTGTTGCTATAGGAAGGAGTTAATTTTAATAACAAACTTTTGAAATTCTATTTACCGTGGACTGATCTGCATCAGCTTGTTCAATCATATATCCCATTTGTCGAAGATATGTAAAAGCTATTTTGTAAGAAGTATCATTTTGAAGCAGATAAAATTTCACTAAAAATAATTGCATACAACTCAATTTATTAAGAAATTTTTCAATTTCTTGTTCAGAGTTTTGTTGAAAAATGAGTATTCTTAATTTCACATATTCCATCAACATATCCTAAAAATAAAGTAAATAAATTTTCATAAAGACTTGATAATTAAGGTATGCCTTGATAAGAACTTTAAGCAATTTACCTTAAACAAAGATTCTGGACATATGTTAAATTTTTGATCCGCTACCACAGAAATAAGGCACATACTAGCTGCCATGACTGTTTTAGTCTTACAATCGAGAGACCAATGTGCCAAAACAATACATAAAAGTGGTTTATGTAATCGAGAAAAGCTCCGAATAAATGGTAACATGTCGCATAAGTGGTGTAAAAAGTGTGTACTTTTGACTTGGTTTGTTAATCCACAAGCTGATGCCTAAAATGAATAGATAGATAAAACAAAAAAAATATGAGTAAAATGTTTATGAAGCCATATAAAATGATTAACTAGTTTTACATTACCTTTAACAAACTGACAATGTATATCTTTAGAGACTTCTCAATTTTAGGAAACAATTTAGATTTATAAGGCTGCATTTTATAATCATCATCAATTCGTAGATAGTCCTTTAGAGCTTTCGGAATCAACTTTCCATATGAATTATAATAATTTTTGAAAACTGCAATCATGATAAAATTTAACTTTTGTTTTCTACGATTCCAACGATAACAAAAGTATAGTATGCTTACATTCCGCAAAGTCTGAAATTGTATGATGTTGAAAACTTTCTAATACATGATTTATGATCTTACTGGAGCACCTATGAAAATTATTTATTGTTTAATGAATGAAAAAAAGAGACATAAAACAAAATTGATTAAAAATATTACCCTTCTTGCTTCAATGCAGTTTGCCATTTCTGTATGGATTGTACTGTCAATATTTTCTGGCAGCTGACATCCTCGTCGGAAATCTGCGAGATACACGCGTAAGCCATGGACCAAATATTAGATCGAGAAAAATTAGAAATTTTACATGTTGCTAATAATAGCCTCCTTTACCTGTATATCATCGAGCAATTTCTCGAACGTGGATTCTTCGATTTGGCCCAAATCGTAGTAGGCCGACGTTTCCTGCTGCACGACGGACATCGCGATCAGGATGAGGAAGATCTGTCACTGCTGCGGGTTGTCAATTCTGTATGTGTATGTGTGTGTGTACGCAGCGTGTGTAATAAAGCGCGATCGCCTCCGCAGCGGTAAAATATATGACTGCCGCTGCAGCCAGCTGATGCGGTCCTGTGCTGTGTGTATCAACTCGCTAAAGCATGCGCGAGCGGTAGTTTTGAAATTATTTCGGATAATTGTTCAATGATTGCCAATCGGTGCGCATAATCGCGACCTTGTCCGCTAAATTTCGACCGGGAGCTTGAGCCGATGGTATATTCAATCGAAAGCAGCCTCGGGTTCGCTGTTAAAAAAAAAAAAAAAAATAACTCAATCAAGAGTCGAGCAATTCCGTCACTCGATATCGAGGAAGTCCCGCACGTCCCACACGTGCATCACGAGCTGCAACTGTAAACTGCTTATCTGCGCGTTATTTATAAGACTTCGCAATTCAAATCGCACGTGCGTGTTCCGCTCTTTTTTAAGACACAACACGGCGTTTCGTCGTGCCGCCGCCGCGAGCGAACAATTAAAATTTCGATTTTGTCACCAACCGCCGCAGAGCGTTTTATCCATTGAGGTGGGGAGGGGAGCTGGAAACAATTGTTTCGATTCAGTAAGTGTATATAATCTGTTCTCGTTAAAGATGTAAGAATGATCGAGATATTGAATGAAATCGTAAAAACTAATTATAAAAAATTACTCAAATATAAATGATAAAACGATGATATCTTAACAGCCAGAGGGTAATTACTTTCAACGGTGAACTAATCGTTATCGTTATGTAAAAGTGCAGATGACAGCAGTATAAAAGGTCTAGATTGCAGGAGATAATGTAAGTGTTATAACGTATCAGTGTCTAATGTACCAATACTTGGAAGTTGGATGAAAGGAAAGTGACTTTCCGGTCCTACCATTTCTAAGAAACGAATGAATGAAATAATCTCAAATGATTACATTAGTCTACCGTAATTATTTACGCAATCGATTATTCTTCATTATCCGTTCATTACTCGTAATTATCTTTTTCGACTTCGATATATTCGGGATCACGTGTGTGGTGTGTCTAACAGTGCCTGCACAAAGCGCATATCGGACGCGTCGCTTATGCACGGCTGGAATCCTTTATAATATTGCCGTATCCGCGAAATTTTGTACATCGCCCGCAGTATAAAGTAAGAGCCGCGCAGCAGCAGCGCAAGCGTGCGAAAAATTGCGGCGACCAGTCTCTGTGTCTGTGTCTTTGTTCGAAGCTGTGTGCGTGCGCGCGCCCGTGTTGTGTTGTGTCCATATACTTATACGTGTGTGTGCGTGTTAAACGAGCGCAATGGCGTCGACGAGATGAGGCGTCGTGCGACGAAGGCTGCTACCGAGTATATAGACTCCACCGCCAGTGAGAGAGAAATATATACTGTGTGCAGTAGCATATAAAGCGGTATAATCGCCCCAACGTGTGCAATTGTGAAAACCTTTAGTGTGAGTGTGCATTGCCATTCTTAATAAAAATATTCAAGAATATCTCCTGCGGGCTATATAACAATCGCGCCCGCGACGTGTTGAAAAACCTCGGGCTCGAGTTCTATTCTGTGTGTGTGTGTGTGTTGTAATATCGAACGGCGGGAGCCTCGCGAGCGATTAACGCTATGTTTCAGTCCGGGTCTACTTGACCAGCCTGTGTTTTTTTTTCTTATATCATACATAGATATATATAGACATATATACCTACGTATTTACATCTATATGTGTCTGTATGTGTGTTTGTTAACCAAGGCTTGCATTCATCAGGGACGAGATCATCTTTTCGATATATCTAACGTATTTAATAGGTACGAGTGCTGAGTGTTAGTTTTTCGTATGTGTTCGTGTAAATACCTGTGTATCTGTCGATAGTTCAATTCGTGTATATGCTTTCGTGAGCCCTGCAATCACTCGATAAAGTTTTAGCTTGTATACCTTAACTACGAATAATCTGGACGTGGTAACGATCCCATTAAATAATTTGATCAATAATAACGTGAGATATTCAACTTTCATTGAAAAATTGGTTAATGGTTAATTGACAGATCCTCATGGAGTGTGTGTCATGTGTTTAGCTTTTGTTTCGTTTGGACTAATAGGGTTAAGTTGTGTGAAGTTAATTATCAATCTCATTTGTTGCAGATTAAAGTTAAATATTATACTTGGATAAAGTATAAATATCATTGGCAGTATGTCTTATCCTGGACAAACGCCAATGGGCATACCGGGTATGCCTCCCATGCCTTACATGGTTGGCGCACCTCCATCAATGAATCCATTACTTGGTGGTGTCATGCCTATGGCACATGTAAGTTATTGAATTATTTAAATTAAATTATTTATTAACAAAAATACCAAATTTGCAATTTAACTCAATGAATGGAATCTTTTTTAGCCCATGGTACCTACTCCAGTATCAGCTATGCAAACGTCAGCTCCAGCTGTACGTTATGCACAACCTAGACTTAATGTGCCATCTCAAAAACTAACAGAAAAACCTAAGAGAGAGCGCGAAACAGGCCCACCAGTAACTGTGTTTGTGGGTAATATAATGGACCGTGCTCCGGATATTATGATCAGACATATTCTGGGAGCTTGTGGTCAGGTTCTTTCCTGGAAACGGGTTCAAGCATTTGGGTTCTGTGAGTTTGCAGGGCCAGATGCTGGCTTGAGAGCTGTTAGATTACTTCATGACATGGAAATTGGCACTAAAAAGCTAGTTGTTAAAGTAGATGCTAAAACTAAAGTTCAAATGGATCAATTCAAAGGTTTGTTTTTTTAATTTGACACCTGCTATTTAGCTTGTGATGAGTTGAGCATGACAATTTAACATTTTTTTTTAAATCTGTAACAGCTGAAAGAAGAAAAAAATTAAAAGGAAGTTCATCACCTTTGCAAGATGAGGCTTCTGCTGATCATGGAGAAACAGAAGACAACGATGATTATATGGATGATTCTATGAAGTCAACTGATGAAGAAGCTCTTTCTAGAATTAGAGAAATTATTTCAGAACACTTGAGTGATTTGGAAGCTATTATGAATGAAGCAGGTCAATAAACTTAACTATTATTGTAGAAATTATAAAACTTAAAAATTTTAATTTTACTTTTACTTATTTACAGAAGAACCACCAAAACAACAAGTGCCAAAAGCAGTCAACTTGGATGATGCTGAAATTGAAGAAAGTAAGCGAGACCTAATCACACGAGAAATTGGAAAGTTTCGTGAAGTCATGAAGGTAATGAGTAGCTTTATTTAAGTGGGAATTAATTGAATTTGCAAGTTTGGGGTTGAACAATGGGGTTAGAGATTCTGCGGCTGCATGGTGTAGAATAAAACTTGTTGTAAGTCAAGAAGAACCCACAGAAATATCAGTTATCAAAAAGAAACGGGGGTCATTTGTTTCATAGTTCTATTTTTTATTGTCAACTCCAGAAAGTACTTTACTTTTATTAGTACAACAGTGAAGCTTCAATCTTCAAAACTATTGTGTTTAAGTACATGTACTAGAAAAAAGTAAGGAAAAATTCCATCTTAACACAATTTCAAACAAAAAAAAAAACCATCAACGAGACGAGACGGAGAGCGTTCAGTTTGTTCTTTATTTTATGTAAACAGCCAGTGTTGCTCGGCCTCAAACGATCCGTCATGTACGTAGTACCATAGGTGCTCACATCTACAGCGCGCCTTGGCACTGCCGGCAGCCAACTTCGCATACCGTGAGTAAAATTCTCCACCAACAACAAAAAAATGACAAAAAAGCAACAACCAAAAAGGCAACGCATATAAACGCCTTTTAAAGATATAGTTTGAATACTGCCTTTCGCGTTATGGATGCGATTTATTGATGGAAAATAGCTAAATTGCTGCCATAAAATTCTTCTTTTTTTACTTCTCAATATTCATAAGCACATTGTCATTATCGCCCAAAGTCACTTATCATTTTTTTTATTTTTCATACTTTGTTAGTTGCTATCACTAAAAAAACCGTTTTCATATCTTTTATCTTCTAATATCCATAGAATAGAATCTCTTGTAAGGGCCCTTGGTGTACATAAAATATAGATTTTTTTTTCAAGAAAAGGCCTCTGAAAATTTGAAAAAATGAATTATAATATTACAATTTGATCAGTAACAACTTCATTTTTTCTAAAATTGAGGAACACTTTTTCTTATGTAAGTTTGCATTTATTTTGTGTGTATCGGTGGTCTTTAATATATATCAGAAGAAAAAATATTGGTTTTGTTACATTAGCGATACTTAAATTCAAGATTTGGTTGCATGATACCAAAGGCATACAAATATCAATATTTTTTCCTACTCCCAAAACAAAATGCATAATAAATTATGCTATGCATTCCTGCATGACGAATCAATCATCTTCTTGTCCCTTGCCAATGTCACTATGTAATAAATACAAGCATTGCACATCATATTCATCTTATTGCAATAGAATTGAATTGCTACTCTAGTACACACTTTCCACGAAAAAAAAAAACAAAACTAAAACAAAGATAGAAGTAAAGAACAAATAAACAAAAAAATTTAAGAGTTGGTTGAGGTTTGTCAGAAAAACTTTGTCGAGCACAACAAGCCAAGATACGTGCTTTTAAATTCAACAGCTGGGCGCGCTGATCAACTGTATAATGGCAAAGAAGAAAACTGACTCCCACGTGATACACGTACTCGATTGACGAGTGTGTCACAAGAGGAGAGAGGCAGAGAGAACCAACAATCGTTGACGATGGTTGGTTTTGCGTCAAGACGACGGTGTCTCGCGGCTCCAATTGAAGAAAACTCCGCCGTGTTTCGTTTAATCCAGTGCAACGACTACTAGCCAGTGTATTAGCCCAGACAGCTCGATGAAAAAATCTAAAAATTGGTATTATATCACTGAAACACTTTTTAATTAATTATAATAATCAATTAATTATCTCTATCTCGATTAAAGTTTTTTGTAATTTCTGCATTAGAAACTCTATTTGAAAATTAGGGTATTTTTTTTTTTTAAGGAGCTAAAACGGATTTGTTCACGTGTTGTGAGTACACGTTCAATGCCGTGAGCTCAAAATTATAAATGTTTTATTTTCTATTTTTATTTATAGTTAAATATAAATTAAAATTCCGTCAGTACGTTTTGTAGCAAATATCAAATTAACTGAGTAAAAGCTATGACATTTTTTTTTAATTTTGCAAGCCTAGTTCGTAAAAAAATAACTATAATACACTTGTTAAATATGTTTCGTCACCGACACTCTCTCTCAAATTCTCTTTTTTGGTTTTTCCTCTCGTTTATTTTTCTTGCAAAAAGGCTCTTCTCCAAACGTACATCAACGTTGCGTTCTCCTGAGTGTAAAATTTAACAGAGAAGGATTCGACACACACAGGTTTCCTCATCGAACATTCATTGTCGTGAGTAAGATTCTGGCAAAGACTGCGATTTATGATTTTTATATAATAATTTAAAAATACATACATTTAAATCTTAAGACATGTATTTAATTATATCGTTATTATTATTCTCATTGTTAAGCTGTAAAAGATGAAAATGTTATAACACATGTATCCCATATGAAGATCCTTTAATTCTACAAAATGCAAAAAAAAAAAAACATAATGAGATATAAATTTTTCCAAGATCGAAATTGTCTAAACGTTCTGGTGTCTGTTTGTTTTTTTTAGAAACAAGAAGAGGAAAAGGCTCGAGACAAAAAGAAGCGCGAGAAGGAGGAGCGCGAGGAGCGCGAAAAACGCGAGCGTCGCGAAAAGGAACGAGCGAGCCGCAGCAGTCATCACAACAGGGACGGCCGAGGCGGCGGCAGCGGAGACAACAACAACAAGGAAGAAGACGAGTCGTCCAGTAAAAAGGGCAGCGCCGACGAGGACGGCGAGATTAACAGTCCTCGAGCGGTCACCGGCCGAGAAGACAGCACCGACAGCCGGAGGCGAGACAGAAGGCGCAGCCGATCGAGGTTTGTTATAAAACATTGTTAACGACAATTACTCTCGCTTTATACGAAAACTGGCCTAAGCTCGTTCCTTCCACGAATTGAAAGCAGTCGGAAATGATATTCGACTCGAATTGAGCGATTCATGCATAGGCATTTTCGTAAACTCGTATATTTGTCTCTTGATAAGTCAAGTTATGAGTGACTTGACAAGAAAGTACTCTGGCTTTGCAAATAACTTTAAAGTTAACAATGATATTTCTGTGTTACAGGACTCGAGATCGGGATCGTCGCTCCAGGGAGCGAGATCGTTCACGAGAGCGGGATGGCGATCGTCGAGGCAGGACGCGCGAGCGCGACGGTGATCTGCGACATCATCGCAGCGACCGAGGTGGTGGTGGCGGCGGTGGTGCCGACAAGGACCGTGAGCTCCGCGAGCGGGAGCGCGACCGGGAGCAGCGCGAGCGCGAACGCGAGCAACGCGAGAGAGATCGCGAAAGGGAGCGAGAGCGCGAGCGCGACATGCGCGACAGAGAGCACCGGGACCGGGACAGAGATCGCGACGACGGGCGCAGGACCGAGCGCGAGATCATGCGCGAGCGCGAGGAGGAGGAAGAGGCCAAGGAGAGGAAAAAGAACGAGCGCAGAGCTCGGGAAAAGGATGCGGCCTATCAGGAGCGGCTGCGTGCCTGGGAGGCTCGCGAGCGACGAAAGGCAAAGGAGCACGAGAAGGAGAACGAGAAGAAGCGAGCCAAGAGGGACGCGAGGGAGCGCGAGGCCAAGCGACTCAAGGAGTTCTTGGAGGATTACGACGATGAGCGCGACGACTCAAAATACTACAAGGGCAAAGAGCTCTCGAGGCGCTTGGAGGAGAGAGCTTCCGAGGCCGAAGCCGACTCGAGGGACAGATGCGCCGAGAAACAGGAGCTGCAACGGCTCAAAGAGAAGCTATTTGCAGACTCGAGTTACACCGATCCTGCTGCCGAATTCGAGAGGGTAAGTTCAAATTTACCACGATGACGATACGATTCGAAAACAAACTATTGTAACTAATTCTTTTCTGGTCCAACAGTTGAAGCAAGAACGGGAAGAACAGTACAAACCCAAGCCAGTTATAACGATACTAGACGACGAGGACGATCCTCAACAAATCAAGGTGATCGAGAGGAATTCTCGCAATCGTAATCACAAGTCGAAAGAACCGTTGCCGCCGATCGAGACCGAGCCCATTGACAGTGACAGCGACGACGTGCATTACGCCGACAGCACGACGCCGGTCAATCAACAGCCAGTATTGGGTGGCACGCCACCGCGACCGCATCACATGTTGCAGCAGCAACAACAGCAGCAACAGCAGCAGCATCGCCATCATCGGCATCACAGGCACCGGGGACCCGGCGAGAATCATCACGGCGGCCGCGGCGGCGTCGAAATCATACACGACGACGAGGTACACGTACTCAAAGAAATCGAGAGGGACGACCATACGAAAAATCGTAAAGACAGACCAATGCCAATCGCTTCGCCGCCGGGAGGGAGGTCTCTCACGCCACCTCCACCGATCGACAGACATCATCACTATCACCATCACAATCATCCGCCTGGCCATCACGAAGAGGAGTCAAGAAATTCGCATCACAGTGAAAATGATAAAACCAGTGGTAGCAATTTCGTTCCGTTTGCCATGGCCCTCGGTGGCCCCAAGAACGCGGAACATCACGTGATTGGTAATAAAACTCCAGCTAGTCCGGGCAATCAGCCTATAAATCAGAATTCAAAGGATAAAAAGAAGACGCGTATCGACGTTAAAGACGTTTTCAATAATGACGATGACGATGATACGACGACCAATGCGAAAAAACGCAAACTCGTACCCATCGACTATGGCGAAGAGAAGAAAAATAAGAAGTCAGAAGACCTAGCGAAAAATATCAAGGAAGAAAATTCGAAATCATCAGAAGAAAAAAGAAAACACATTAAATCTCTTATTGATAAAATTCCCACAGACAAATCTGCTCTTTTTGGATATCAACTTGATTGGGCTATCATTGACAATGTAAATATTTCATTTTTTTTTTCACTCTGCATTGAAACTAACAGAGCTTATGCTGATTAAAATTTTATTCTAATTTCAGGCGTTAATGGAAAAAAGAATTCGTCCTTGGATTAATAAAAAAATTATTGAATACATTGGTGAACCAGAGCCTGCTTTAGTAGATTTTATATGTAGCAAAGTCATGGCTGGAAGCTCACCACAAGGAATTTTAGATGATGTACAAATGGTAATTATAATTATAGTAAAAAAAAAAATTTCTCAAGTATTTATGATTCAAATAATATTCAAAATTTGTTCAATTTCAGGTCCTCGATGAGGAAGCTGAGGTATTTGTTGTTAAAATGTGGAGGTTATTAATTTATGAAGTCGAAGCCAAAAAAATGGGCTTAGTGAAGTGAATAATTTGTGCTACTCCTATTTGAATTAAGTGTAGGCCCAGCACAAAGACTCTAATAATGAAATTTTTTAAACAAATTTTAATGTTCAGACTTAATGAATGAGCTTGATGAAACATGCGAAAATACTATATAAATAAAATAACTTATAGTGCGCTAAAGAAAATGAAGAAATGATAAAATTCAAACAAGTGAGATTTATTTATTTAAGTGAAAAAGTGCACGTAGACAATTAAATTCATTGAGTTTGCAATTATCAAGATTTTCTGGACTTGTCAAATAGCCCTAAATAGCAGTATCGACGAATTTTGCTATTTGCAGGCTTAGGTATGCGCATAATAACGTTATTTCATATTAATGATTATTATCTTCTCTTTAAAAAAGAAATCATTGTTCCACTTGAAGGCTCAGGCTATGTTTATATAATGAGAATCCTTTTGTTGAGTTGATGACAACCGATAAAATGCATTCTCAATTTGTACAATTATTTTTCATTTGTGTACAATAATATAACATAAAATATGTATAAAAATTTACGTAAGTACAACCATAAAGTAATACTTTAAGTAAACTTGTTCGATATATATCAGTTTTTTTTGGAGAGATACCGCGTAGCGACACTCCGATGTCAAATGTGTGTGTGGCTGCTCGTAACTCATGTTATAGGAAGGAATGAAAGCCCGTTCGAAAATGTCGTATGTATGAAAGCCTAGGATTATTTTAATTTAGTAATATATGTTTCAAATCAATAATTATAAATAAAAACATTTTGTTATAACTCAGCCGCAACTGCTTTTTGAATTTTTCCTTCTGCGTTGCCGTTGATTTCGAAGATGGCGCTCGGAGTTGACTTGTCTGCAATTCGGTAATTCAGGCTTTCCAGCCAATCTTGAGTTTCTGCAGTTTTGACTAATCATAGCTAAAATTAATTCACTACATCTAGCGTTTTTGAAAAATTTGCTTTGCTTCAGAACCAATTACAACTTGCAAAGGGGCATTTTGGTGTCTTCCGATTTTAACGAGTCTCAATAGTTTTGCTTCGTAAAATGAATAAATAAATCAAAGGAGTTTTTAATCAATTTTGAAAAGAAACTTCTTACCATTTCGACGTGCTTTTAAACTCAAAAGGTAAAGGATTTTAATTTTTTATTATTATTTTTTATTATGATTTTTCAATTATTATTATTTTTTTTTTAACGCGATTAATAATAATTGATCATTTTTAATTCTGCTCCAAAATTATATATGCGTGCGGGGCTTGAGTTTGACGCGACGAGCGTCTGCGTAGCATATCGCATACATGCTACACTTCCTATAATAAGTTACTATAGATTTATATAGGGGCATCTGCCTTTGCGCGAGCGAGAATCGTTTTAGCAACACACATACACCGACTGGAGAGTATTCGTGCGTGTGTGTGTGTAAGACTGTGGGTTCGTTCATGTATGTGCGCGTGCAGAGCTCCGAACCAGACAGCAATGAAGTGAAGTGAGAGTGCACCCATCCATACTCTCGCGGCTCTCCACACTTAGTACCTTACCGGCACGCATTGACTTTTCGCCGCCCTCCCCCGTGTGCTGCTGCGCGTGCATCACACGACACCAAGAGTAGTGACTCTCGTTCATTTTTTTTTTGCGCCGAGTGCGTCTGTCGACAGTCATTGTTACACGTTGTACGTAGCGCGGCATCGACTGTTAATCGAGCCACGGACACGATAACGCATCGTCGCTCCGAAGAAACGGAATCACCGGCCGGCGCGTGTAATTTCCCCACCTACACACACATACACGGCATAAGTTCGCGTGCACCGACGCACATACACGTCCAGCGGATATAGTGTATAGTGTATCATCTATATACACGCACACAGTCTTACACGCACACGCGCGAGCCGCGACCGCATATAGGTACCGCATATACATATTTTACATCTCTCGTGAAAGATGGCGGAGCAAGAAGTGTCGTCGGACGGCGAGAAGTGCAACAAAAGATTCAAATTCGACTCGGATCGAGACAACAACGTGAGCTCGACCTACGACGGCAGCAACAATGCCGAGGCCAACGAGCCCACGAGCAACAACGACCTGGTCGAGGCCGAGGAGGAGGAGGAGGAAGAGGAGCAGGAGGAGCTGGACAACAACGACGACGACGAGCAGGAGCTGAAGGACGGCAGCGTTCACGAGCAGCATCTCAGCCTGGCGAACTTTCAGCTGACGCGCGTGCTCAACGTCAACAGCGTGAGAAAGCAGATATTCGTCGAGGGCAAGTTTCGCGGCTACAGCAGCCCGGCCGTCGTCATACTCGAGAAGAAGGTCTTCCCGGAGGACGAGATATTCCTCAAGCGCGGCTTCTTCAACGAGGGCACCATCATCAGGCGGCTCTTTAGCAACGACGTCTATGGGAATTACGAGTGCTTTCCCACTCGCGAACACAATGGTAAGCTCGAGCTCCGACCAAAAAAAAGAGTCAATTGTCGCGGTCTGTGTTTTGTTTCCGTGTGACTGTCTTTTATTTCGTGTGTTATGGCAGTGATATTTTAGTGTGTTTCTCGGTTAAATTTCGATTTCCTCTGCAGTTTTTTTGCTTTGTTTGTTGAACAAAATGCATGTCATTGTTATGAGAATATCTGGAGATGATAATTTGAATATTCTTTTGAATAATTTTAGGTTTAAATACAACCATCATTCATCCTGCATCACAAAAGCATTTGGACAAATTCATAAGAAAAGAGCTTTACATGGTAGAAGAAAGCTATGAGACTTATCAAAATGTGACACTTCCTCATCTGGAAGCTAATAATTTTTCATTACAGGTAATATTATCTTTTTTCAATGTCAAATAGTTAATTTTATATTTCAAAGATATCAAGATATTTATTAAAAAATTTATTTCTTTTAGTGGGTCGACAATATTTTAACTCATAAAGCTGAATCTGAAAAAATCATTTTTGAAGACAAAGATCCAGATACCGGCTTTGTCATGCTCCCAGACTTGCAATGGGATGGACAACCAGCCACGTTAAATATTATCGTTATAGCAAGGAAAAGAATAAAATCTCTTAGAGAACTGAATGATACTCATTTACCTCTTTTAAAAAATATCAAGGATGCAGGAACAGATGTTATAATGAAGAAGTATAATATACCAGCAGCCCAATTGAGAATTTATTTGCATTATCAACCATCTTATTATCATTTACATGTACATTTTTCATACTTAATGTATGAAATTGCCGGTAAGATAAATTGTTTATATAAATATCTTATTTTGTATGAACTAGAATTATTGAAATTTTTTATGTTTTTCAGGTATTTATTGTGAAAGAGCACATTTACTCTCAAACGTTATTAGTAATATAGAAATGGTTCCAGATTACTATCAAAAGGCTGTTTTATCATTTGTAGTAAAGGAAGATGATCCTTTGTGCAAAAAATATCAAGAGAAAGGTATTTTAACTGTGATTGACAAGTCTGTCGAAAAGTAAAAAAGTGAATAGTGTAAATTAGGAAATTATTTTTTATCTTTAAATTTAACTAGCTTTTTGTACTGACGTCGAAAGTCTTCTGAATCAATATACCAAATAAATTGTGATGGATTACGATCTTTCTTAAAATTTAAATGATGAACTGATAATAAACTTTTCAAAGACATTTTATTACTGAACTTTTTACATAGAGCCTATCAATTCTAAAATATTTATAAGTATGAACACAGAATACTTATAAAAGTAGGTCGTTAGACTCATTGCGCCATTAGAATTTATATATAATATATATAATTTGTATAGAAAACATCTCAGTCGAACATATTAACAATCACAGTCTTGCAGATGTATGAAAAATGATTTTTAACAATAAATTTGTGCAATGACATATGATACATTTACGGGTACCTTTTGCTCAAAGCATCGCCGTTTTTAAAACGAATATGTAATATATTATCGTTAAAATTTGATAATCAATATAAAGTTAAAAACTGTAGTATTACAAAAGCAATAAACCTTTGTATAGTATGCGTAAATTCATCTTAAAAACTGTCGCCAGTTAAAAATGCAAATAATCGTTTTAGCACGTTATAGAAACAGTTAAAATTTAACATCTCGAATTTCCCTAATTATTGATCGAGATACAATTAATCTTTTGCAAAGATAGACGGTAATGCTAGACAGTTCATTTCTTTTTTACAAGGTGACCACTTGGTCCAGTAGTCCGTTGCTTTAAAAGCTATTTCGTTTTTACATTTTTTATATATTCTTATTATACATGTGACTCATTATTGTACTCTATACTGACTAGGCTTCTTCGTTCATTTCTTTTGTAATCGTCGAAGTCAGAAAGCCCGTGCAAGTGTCAGCTGCTTTATTTTGTTCTCTCTTACGTTATCTCCGCTATTTCGTGCTCCTCTATCGGATGGCGCTCTGTAAGTAATTATCATCGACACCGATTGGTTTCACAAAGAGCATCGTCGCAGTTGATCTATATATACTCACCTCATGTTTTCAGCCTCGTACTTTTCAGGAATCCGTTTCGCGACTTGGAGTATTTGCTGCTCTTGTCGTTGGCGAGCTTGTCGAACATCACGTCGTCCGAGTCTGTGTCCGAGTCCGACAGCACCACCTTGCGAGACGTCGAAACTGCAAGAGCCGAGGCGTACGAATCGAATGAGAAAAAATTACTACATCAAGTGGCATAATAAAATGTGATGATTCGGGGTATCCGCTCGGGAAATAACGTCAAGATCCAAATTTTTTTTTTAATAACAAAAAAGAGTCGAAAAATATTTATTCGTCAACATTCGCGAATGTTAAAGTACTCTCGCCTGACGATACAGTCCGAGCGGATACCCCGAGGACTCGTGACGATCGTCTCGTCGCGCTTCGTACAGGTCGTGTTCTCGTCGTCGTCGGCGAGCAGCGAGTATCTGGCCGGCTTCTTCTTCGACGGCGGACGCAGCAGCGAGGCCGGCGGCGCTCGTCTCCTTCCCCAGCAGCAGCAGCAGCAGGATAAGCAGCGGCAGGCGCGCTTGCAGCAGCACGCGATCAGCCACACGGCGCAGCTGCCGACGATGAGCGCGGCGAGGCCGCCGATTATCGCGTACAGAATGCTCCAATCTGGAAAAAAAGTTTCGGGGGAAAATGATTTTCAGACTCGTCGAGCGTGTGTGTGTTTTGAGTACAGAACGAGATGTTTTATTACCGCAATTGGAATCACCGGCTCTCGCCTTGATGAAGTTCTGCATCCAGAAAGCCTCGCAGACGCACTGTCTGGTCTCCTGGTCGCAGGTTCCGTGACCTACGATAAAAGTAAAACGAACTCGTAATTATCCTGGAAAAAAAAAATCTTGGCACACTGCTTTGAAACTCGTATAATCACCGGAGCAATTGTTTTGACAGATGCTGGTGTCGAGGCGCGCCACCGGCAACTGCATGCGACGGTGGCCCTTAGTCGAGTCGTCGCGGAGCTCGCGCTCGAGCTGGTCCACCACCCGCGAGGCCGGCAGGACGACCACCTCCCCCTTGTCCGTCTTCGACCGGACGAAGAACACGAGGATCAGCCGGTTGGTGCGAGGCTCGGCTCGCAAGCTCCGCACGACGATCGTTGCGTCGTCGCCGTCGTCGGTTTTCAGCATCTGTCGCAGCCTCGCGAGCAGCGCGTCCTTCTGCGCCTCGGTGAAGAGGTGCGCGTCGACGTTCAGCACCAGCTCGACCAGATTCAACGATTCGGGATCTGTGACAAAGAGTCGAACGTTTCCAAGATAAAATCCCCCTTCAACTGGTAATGTATAGGAAGCACAAAATATCGAATACCAACCAGGCTCGACGATCACGGTGGCCGTGTCCTCGCTCGCCTCGCCCTGGGCGTCGTAGATCGTCAACTTGAACACGTATCTGCCGGGCACGACGTCCGCGAGCATCAGCACCGGCGACTCGTCCGTGCCCTCGATCACGCGGCCGACGGCCAGACTCTGCGGCTGCCTCGACCAGAGCCAACGGGCGATCCCGAGATTGCCGCTCGATTTCGAGCCGTTGAAGACGAGGGCCGAGACGGGACCGCTGACGGTCCTGTTGCCACCCGCGTCCGCCCTCGACGTCACGTTCTTGTCTGCGTTAACACGAGTATAATATACACGAGCGATAAATATCAATCGCTGATATAATTCTACTACTTACTCTGAACGACTTTGAGGCGAACGCTGTCCTGGCCCGGATTCCCGTCGCTGTCCCTCACCGTCAGCTTGAACGTGTAATCGCCCAGCGACAATCCTCCGACTTGGGTCACGGACTCGTTTGCGGCGCCGAATCTGACCGGCGTCGGCCCGTCCACCAGCTCCCAGCGATAGGACACGATCCGCGCGTCGTCGCGGCTTCTCGAGCCGTTGAGAGTGACCTCGGTCGTGGGCAGGGCCACGATCGTGTCGTCCCCTGCGTCGGCCACCGGTGGCAGGCCCCTGGGCGGCTGCACGCTAACGTGCACCTCCGAGCTCGAGACCTGGCCCGCCGCGTCCTCCACCTCCAGCACGAACGTGTAGTAACCCCGCTCGAGCTTGGACACGCGCGGATACGGCGTGTCGGCGCCGTCCATCACCAGGCTCTTGTTCTGGAGGTCGCGCGTCGTCCACCTCCACTTGACGATGCCCCGGTCGTCCGCGCTCATGTTGCCGTTGAGCACGTAGCTGTTCTCGGGCAGATGGATCACGACGTTCTGGCCGGCGTCGGCGCTCGGCGGATAGTCCCTGCGCTCGATCACCGTGACGTTGGCCAGGGTCGAGTTTCGCGCCCGATCCGAATCCTCCACGGTCAATTGGAAGGTATAATTGCCGGCCACGAGATTGTCCAGCTGCAGAGTCGGCGCGTCGACGAGCAGATCCTTGTCCTGTTCGTAGCCCTTGGGAGTCTGTACCGGTTCCCAGTGGTAGGAGCGGATGTCGAGGTCGTCGCGACTGCTCGAGCCGTCCAGTACGGCTTGGTTGTTGGGCAGCTTGACGATCTGCGACGACGGTATCACGACGGCCACCGGAGGCTTGTTCACGCGTTTTCGTGGTTCTAATTTTTAACAACAAAAAAGTGTCACTCGGAGGTACTTCTTCAAGATCAGTATGCAACGAGTCCGCCTGGGCATTTACCTGGTAAAACGGTGACGTTGACGTAAGCCTCGCCCTCGCTACCGCTCACTCCCTTCGCCGTGACCTTGAGCTCGTACACTCCCTCCGAGAGGTTGGACAGCTGGACTTTCCTCTGGTCCTGGTCGCGCAAGCTCGCCGCGTTACGAGCTTCCGCGGGCTCTTTCAGCAGCGTCCAGGCGAACTTGTAGGGGCCATCGACGCGCTCCTGGACGGGCTTCGTCAACACCTTCAGGCTCACCGAGTTCTCCGGCAGTTCGATCACTTGGTTGCGCGCCCTTATCCACAATGGATTCTTTTTGGGCGACGACGACGACGACGATGACGACGACGACGATGGGGGCGAGGACTTTCGAGAAAATTTCTCGAGCCGCGGCTCGATCAGATCCGGCGCCGCGGGCGGTAAATTCAGATCCTGTATGTCGCGGAACGAGCTGCAGACACCTGAAACGATTTTTTTTTGTTTGTTTAAATATAAGTAACGAGTAATCGAGAGAGAGAGATATTCGTTGCGTACCAGCGAGATTCCTCTTGTATCCCGTCTCGCACTCGCATATGCCGACGCGCGACTTGCTGCTGCTCTTCCGGCAGACCTCGTTGTCCATGCAGTCTTCGCGCAAGGCGCAGCTCAGTCCGTCGGCCTCGAGTGTCACCAGTGGCGCATCATCGGCAGCAGCAGCAGCGGCAGCGGCTTCCGCCTCGAGATTGCCTCGATTATATTCGCTCGGTTCCTCGTCGTCGTCGTCATGTCGCTGTCTCGTGTCCTGCTGCTCGAGCAGCTCGCTCCAGGTAACGAGCCGACCGCCTCCGTCGTCGTCGTCCTCCACGGGCTTGACCAGCACCATGTTGGGCGGCGACGACTGGGCCAGCTCCGGATGATAGAGCGGCAGGCACATCCTCGAGCTGGTGCACTGCAGATGGTAGCAGGTCTTGTTGTAGGTGAGGGCGACGTGGCACTGCTCGTCCTGGCAGCAGGTGGCCACGCAGCCGCGCAGCTGGGTGACGCGCGGCTGGCGCCGATAGACGCCGCCGGTCAGATTGCCCACAGGCGCGTAGCTGGTGAAGACCTTCGGGTAGAGGGCCGGGCAGAGGATCTGCCAGTTGTTGCTGGCCCACTCGCCGCTGACCGAGTAGTAGCAGTTGGAGCCGCAGAGCAGCAGCAAGGCCAGCAGCAGACGCAGCAGCAGAGACCGCTGCGACGACGATGATCCCTGCGACATGGCGGTGGATTTTCACGAGTCTCGCGTTTCACCACGCGACGAACAACGACATGTTATCGAAACAAAAATGATGATGCACGAGCGAGACGAGAGAGCTCCGAGTCGGAGAGCGTCGAGCGAACTAGTGCGGAGCTTTCGTCGCGTTGCAAAAAGCACCCGAATATTATCGGGCGACATACGTATCACGCACACGTGCGCGAATACTTTTTCACGAATACATGATATATCTACTGATGAGTGTAACGCGCGACGAGCGGCAGCTGCCGCTGTGCGTAACGTATATTTTATTATCTCTTCCTGACGATGAGTCTCTCTCTGTTGTATTACAGAATTGATAAAACAGGAAAAACGTAAGCAGCAGCAGCACACGTATAAAGACAGAGAACAGAAGGAAATCTGTATCATTCGCGCGAGTGGGCAGCTACTATCGCATGTACATTACGCCGCCTCTACTTTTTTTTAATTAGCTCGTTAGTGCTCCTCGGCTATATAGCGTTTTGGTATTGTTGACGTCGTTGTCGTTGCTCATCGCGCGAGATAGCCTAGACGCGGAAGATGACGAGCAGCGGCAGGATTGACGACTACTGCTGGCTGCTGCTGCATAAATCCACGCTTAATTGGACGATCCAGGATATCCTCCCGATAGTAGCGGAGCATAATTACGACCTGTGTAAGCGCAGCTGCTATATTTTTTTCTCTTCTTCTTCTTGTTTCACTTCGCTTTTAATTTTGTCGTTGTTTATAAACACACACACACACACAAGCGCACAAACACGCGCGCGTAATTCGCGTTATTATTATTGGATTATAATTTTAACGCGCGTAATCGAGCTTTCGTCGTTGTTGACATACGTATTATACTACTCCTCACGCACACGCAGTCGTTGTCGTCGCGGGCCCGTCTGCTAAACAACAACGCGTTGTGTGTACGTGATGCAGCAGTTCTTCTGCTGCTGCTGCTGATTCTGGTAAGCAAAATTTGCGGGAGGTTCTCTCGGTCGCGATAACCTCATGTGTACACAACGCCAGGATAACGTTTTTGTGCTTGCAGCAGCCAGTGTAGGATTGCGATTGCGCAGCAGCAGCTACAGCTTTCCCCTTTGCGCGCTCGTGATATATCGTATACTCGCGGCTAATGAAAAGCTTAGGGGCGACGCGAGAGCGCAGCGCAGCGCGACATCAGCCGGGGGATGTAGAGAGAGTGGATGTGTTGCGCGTCTACAATACCAACCCTCGTGGTTGTTGACTACAAAAATTAACGAAATAATATTAACAGAAAATGATAAAGATTGTACGAGTAATGCGATTGAAAATGTAATCGCCATCTCGACGACTCTTTGTAATTGATACAAAAACAAATTACGTACGTAGAATTCATCGATCGATCGATTTGTCATCACTTTATCGTCAATTATACAGGATCGAAAAATACTTTGATATTTCCAGTATTCGAGCGCAGCCGAGTAATTAAGGTCGCGGCCATCGACGTACATCATACGCTACTCCTCCGAAAATTCGCGAAACGAACAGTACGATAATAAAGCGATAACCTCGAGCGATAAGGGCCGCGTCCGATATCGCAGCTGGATTTACTATTATTGTACGCGCGCAAGCTCTGCGAATCTCTCGGTCGCCGCTCGAGCGCCGAACTCAACATCGCGATTTATCATTCGCAATGCAATTACAATCGAATCGTCGCGCGCTCGTTAGCTGCTTATATATATACAAGCTCTCCTGTACGGCCGCCAATGCGACGACTTGCAGGTCCTATATATTATCTAGGTACAGTAGCGGCGGTGGTCACTCTCTACAGTTAGCGCTTGCGCGATAGCCACCTTTGCTACTTATAACATGACTCAGAGAGTCGAGAGTACAGTGTACGTTGTGCACACGCAGTGTCTGTGACGAAGAAGCAGCAGCAGCATAAGCTAGGAGCGATAGAGAGAAGCGCCTGCAGTCGTCGTAGTCGGCGCATCGCGACTCTGTGTGCGAGCTGTGCTGCACGGCTCGAAGTCGCCCCCCGCCGTCGTTGCAACGTCGTCCGTCTCTTCGAGCGAGGAGCTTTTTTTCCGCACAACGCAAACTCGACGCACATAATAAGCAGCGACACGCGCGAGACGCATCGATATCGAAAAGGTGCGAGCGAGTTCGGGGGCGAGGATGCGAGCGAAAAAATAGAGGGAATAATCATGCAGTTGTCCCGGAGCTGCGACCGCAGCAGCGAGCGTCGGAATCGTACGATCGCTCGTCCGAGTTGGTGAATCCATAAACGAAATCAGCAACAGGATCGAAGTATAGAGAATCAACGTCCGCGCGTGAATGGTGCTTTTTTCGTGCAACTGTGCAACGTGTGCTTTTTCGTGCGTGTGCTTTTCCCAGTGCAGCCCAAAAGGGATTGCAGTACACATACACACGTACACGCAAAGAGCGAGGCACATACAAAGATAAGCTCGTGGATCAGCTGCTACTGTGCTTATAGTGCTCGTAGTGTGTGTGTGCGCGCGCTCTGCTGCAGCTCTCTAACCCCTGGGCCAAACGAAATAATATGGAAGAATGTCGCACGTCCGCGCCAACGCGTGGCTGCTGCCCTCGACATCATCATCGTCGTCGTCGTCATCGCTGGTGCGCCTCAACAACAACGACAGCGGCAATCGTCATCGTCGTCACAGAGGGACGTCCTTCGCGCGGCTCCTCTACCTATACGCGCTCCTGCTGATCGTCCTTGCTTCGGGTAAATATACTCTTTTACTCGATATTATTGAACACACATCGGAGCACGTAACACTCGATGTGTACGATCATTGTACTACTCTATCCCCCGGCTAGCTGTGCTGTTCGAGCTACCGTGCGTCAAAAGTCCGCAACTCGCGGATCGTTACTTTCGCGATATCAAAGAGGAGAGCGAGAGAGAGAGCGAGAGCTTTGAAAAGCCGTCGAGCTTCCGCAAGCTCCGAGGCAAAATTTTCACATTTCTATCGAACACCCAGTCACACAGTTGCGCCTGTCTGTTTCTCTCTCTCTCTCTCTCTTTCTCGTTTGGACGTGAGTACGAATACGTATCATCGGTTATTTCGACGTACGTATATAGGAGAGCGGGGGAGGACGCGAGGGTAGGTGTCAATAGAGCGCAACACATATATTCGAGCACGTACACGTAGTTATAATATGACGTGTAACTATATAGACGCACGAGCGTCGAGCAACAGTCGACAGGACAGAGTAAGAGAGAGAAAGAGAGACAGGAGTATAGGCAGCAGCCTGGCAAGAGACGCAGCTGCGTGCGCGGCCGCGATATATAACATATTACAAAGCACACGAGGGTAAGAGAGAGGGTGAGAGAGATGCGCGAATACAATGCAACGCACCAATACACATGGCATTCGTATACACCAACGCGAACGGCGCGTCCTCGCCGACGACGACGCCAAGGGGGGAAAAGGCTGAAGGAAAGGTATATTACCTGCTGTCGCTGATATTATATACACACACACATATACGTACGCGTTCGGGCGAATTCGCGTGTACGTGTCTGCGGTGGGTGTCTGTGTGCATACATATAGGTACACACACATACAATATAAGGAGGTTCGATCCGAGCCGCGGCGGCGGCGGCGTCGCTCGTCCGCCTGTCCCATGTCGTCGTATATATACGCGAACGCCGAGTTTATTACCGTGCAGATCCGCGCTCAGTATAGAACGTATATAATTCCGTATCCTTTTCCAACTTTTATGGGCACGTTTGAGCGTGATTAATTTTTCGTATACATAACGATAATCGTTACACGATCAAACGTGATATTCGCTGCTTATTAAAAATTTTTAAATCCGCGCGGTCTCGCGGCATACATTTACGTGGTGTGCTTGCGGCGAATTATTGAATTTAAAGCAGCGTGACGATGTGTTGAGAAACGAGCGTGGCACGGCGCGCGGGACGATGGGTTGAGAAACGAGAATATTTCAATCTATACGCACGATATAATAACGAACGAGATTATGAAGTTCCATTTCACGCACCAAGGACGCACGCACGTATACGCGTTGATTAGCGCAAAATGTGTCGCGCGAAACGAGTTCATGCCCTTATAAACGCAAGCCTCGCGTATACCCGATGCAGGGACAAAATTATGATTATATACGCGTGCACGTCGAGCAGCTGCACGTTCGCTCGAGCTTTGCAAGCACACGCACACACAAACACACGCACGAGCGATGAAAATAATGTATAGCGCAGCTTTGAAAAAGGAACCAACTCTCGAACGACAGAGAGGATTTCGCTCTCGGGTGCGCGTAATTTCTCAGGCTCGAACGAATCTATATAAATTAAGGCCAGTATATACACAGGGAGTAGCTGCGGCACAAGCAGTGCAGCTTTTTTCGTGCTTATATAAACGCAAGCGAAGCGTCGATGTATATATGCATTTGGTTTAGATGCACACGGGACACGAGCCGTGCACGCATGCAAATCGTACAGACCGAGAGGGAGCGAGATAGAGAGAGAGAGAGAGAGAGAGTAAGGTGATTCACCGGTGAGCCCGAATCACAAGGGGAGATAAAGTTTCCAACAACAATAATAACAACAGCAGCAGCAGCGGCAGCGGCAACTTTACGCGCGCGCTAATTTATGAACAACGACTCTTTTTTATCGCCCACTCGCCCTGTAAATTTCTTCTTTTTTCTTCTCCCTCTCTCTCTCTTTCAGCTAATACGCTCCGTCGAGCTTTCGAGAGGCACCTTGTAATATAACACACAATATCGCTTATAGTGAGCGAGGCACTTGTGCGTGTCCATTGGAAAATTGCCCTGTCCAAGGGCCTCTCTCTCTTATCATGCTTCAGTTTTTTTTCTGCCTTTGCCTTTACAACACACACACACGTGACTCATCTGCAGCACTCTCGAGCGATGTACTCGCACGCAGAGCACAAGGTCGCAGAACGCGCTCGAGCGAGCGAGAGAGATAGAGATATTAGATAGAGATCGCTGAGCCTGATTTATCTAAAAATAAAAGTAGACGAGAAGAAGAAGAATAAAAATTAATTGCTCGTGCATGTGTGTGTGTGTGTGTGCGTGTAAGTACGAGCTTTTTTATTCGACGCAAAAGTGTGTCTCTACTTATACTCTCTCGAGGAGAAGCGAGCTTTCGAAAGTGGCTGCACGCTCGCTCGGAAAAAAAGGAGAAATAAAAACAACAAAAACGCGAAATAACGAAACAAAACAATGAGAAATAGAAACGGAGCGCTGCTGAGATACGAAAAAAATGTCACCGTCTCGCGTTAATTAATGCAGTGTAAAGTCCGCGCGCGCGCGAGATATATGCATATAAAAAAGATGAGACGACGCGCATACTAATTACTCTCTTTCTCCGCACGCGCACGAGTACAAAGTACTTTTACGTAATATAAAGGTAAAGAAAAAAGCTCGAAATCTCGAGGCTCGCGCGCATACAGGAAGACGAGAATCGTATCACTTACGGCTCTCGCGAGCGTCAATCCTCGTGGGTGCAACTGGGTGTCGGTCGCCCATCGCGATAACAATATATAATATTGTATTCTCCACGGACTTTGCGCGGAGCGGCTCGTCTATTTCATAAAAAGCTCCCAGTACTGGTAGTAGTAGTAGTCCACGAGACGTATATAATTCGCTAAAGACTCAATTGTCCCTTTTATACATAGATAGCTCGAGCGCGCGTGTGCTCTTTTCCATCATTGATTGCCGTTTCGGCTCGATTAGCCTAATCCCTCTTCCTCCGGCGATTACGCTAAATCACTCGCTCGAGCGTCGCCTTTGCTCGTTCGTCACAGCCGAAGTAGAGACGAGAGCTTTTATCGAGTTTTCGTATTTTCGCGAAAATTAGGTTGAATTATACACCCGCGCGCGTACATTATGGCCATCGTCGTCGTCGTCGTCGTCATCGTAGTGTCGGCCGAGTTTCTTCCGTCGACCCGCACGCAAATTCGAAATTCGTCCGCGGAATAAGTAAGTTTTTCGGGGTCGGAGAATTTATACATATTACACGTGCACACATAGGTATATATCTCTGCACGAACGAATCCGCTGCGCACACCACCACCACCACCACCTGCCCTTTGGCCTTTGTCCAACGTCTCTCTCTCTCTCTTTCAACATCGCCGCACGTGTGCCTTATACACCTATATTCCGTTCTTTTATCTACTTTTTTTTTCTCGCTCTATACCTTTTTACGAATTCGCTCGATCGCGACCGTCTGCTTATTGTGTATGATAAAAAAGAGAGAAAAATTTCTTCTTCTTCTTTTTTCATTCATTCATTTTTGTCTCTATATCCCGTGTACAGCTCGCACGAAAGAGATAAAAATTCCTCGATATGTAGTATAAATCGAATTTCCAGCCGGTATTACGTTTTCATTATTATCCTCGCTTTCGATCCGATCGTCGATACGAATACCGCAGTCCATTACATATACACCCACACACACACACACACACGTACACGTGAGGGCACTTTTACATGTTAATCCAATGTACATGTATCTGTGTCGTCCCATTGTGTGAGTGTGTTTGTCTGTGCGCCGAGCGAAAAACAATTCGCAAAGAGCTCGAGCTAGCTCTCATTATTATCTATGTGCCTTTTCGGTCTTTCGTTGTGCTGCGGGCCGCACCCCCTTCCCAAGCCCTGCCGTACGACGGGCACGAATCAATAAACGACCGAAATTTCGTGCCTCGCGAGTGTGTGTGTGTGTGTGTGTGTGTGTGTGTGTGAGTAAGTGTGTCTGTGGCATCGTGGCCTAAATGTAAATTACACGATATAGCATCGTGATACGCGCGGCAGCGCCAACAATTATTATTTTTCTACTCATTAAAAAGTCATGGACCGAAAAGAGAAGCCTTTCGAGGCAGCTTCAAGTTGGTCGAGTTACTTTTGCCTCCAACAGAAAAGAGATGAAAAGTGGCCTCCAATTTTTGATGGGTTCAAAATTATATTGGGTTGCAATTATGAATGTGTTTTATTTTACTCAAAAAATTTATTGAACTTTTCAAAGATTATTTGTACATGATGAGATAATATTGAGGGGAATTTATGATATTATAAATTAAAAATGTATAAATTAGAACATGTAGTGGAAATTTGATTCATCTGATATTGTGCATCATATTGTTGTGGGTTTTAAGATTACTCTTCTTTATATGACCTTATACGCATTTACCACGTGCATGTTTGACACCATTGTGCACCGAATCGATGTGTCTCTTGAGATTAAAATTATTTGAGTATTTCTTCTCGCAAATATCACATTCATGAATGATATTATTGTGCACCGCATCAATGTGAATTTTGAGATTACCCTTCGTCGAGAATTTCTTTCCGCAAATGTCACATGTATTAATGATTTTGTCATGTACCGAATCGATGTGGATTTTCAGATCATATTTTCGTGAAAATGACTTATCACATTTAACACATTTATGTTTGTTACCGTTATGCACAGAATCGATGTGTCTCTTGAGATTAATCTTATTTGAGTATTTCTTGCCACAAATATCACATTCATGAATGGTTTTATTATGCACCGAATCGATGTGATTTTTTAGATTAGCTTTTCGTGAACATTTCTTGCCACAAATATCACATTCATGAATGATTTTATGATGCACCGAATCGATGTGATTTTTTAGATTAGCTTTTAGTGAACATTTCTTGCCACAAATATCACATTCATGAATGATTTTATGATGCACTGAATCGATATGGGTTTTGAGAGAACCTTTTTGAGTATATGACTCGCCACATATATCACATTCATGAGTGATTTTATAGTGCACTGAATTGATATGGGTTTTGAGATTACCCTTCGTCGAGAATTTCTTTCCGCAAATATCACACGGATACGTGATACCATTGTGAACTCCATCCATGTGAGTTCTGATATCACATTTTCGTTTGAATACATTTCCACAAATATCGCACACGTATGTGATACCAAACTGCTCCGCATTAATGTGATTTTTAAGATTACTCTTCGTTAGGAATTTCTTTCTGCATGCGTGTGTTGTGTTATTATGCACTGTGCTGCTGCGTGTTTTGAGGTTATATTTGTTATTAAACTTTTTTGTAGTTTTTCTTTTTTTATCTTGTTTGATAAATTCACAGTCGGAATTCGATTCTTCCGCAGCGTCACCAAAAAATTCCAGTTTTACTTTATTTGAAGGTTCTTTTTTAATTATGTTTTGATTTTTAAACTCTTTACTATATTGTACATTACGTGAGTAATTAGGCGAATCATCGTCAATTTTCTTGATGGCTAATAAATTAAAATTGGGCTTGACGTCTTCACATTCAAAAACTATTTCGGTTTGGTCACCAAGTTCACTTTCATGATTGACGTCGCATTTTCGAAGGATATGTGTCTGTCGAAAAGTTAAATACGAGTTATGTATAATTTCAATAAGAGTTGCATTATATAATTATCAAGACTTACTGAGTTTTCTGGTGGAAATGGTGAAGGTTGAAAGTTTTTTAGATCGGGTTTCTCGTCAATCATCTCGCGATCGTTTTCACTACTAGAAATATCATTTGGCTCCTCTTTTACCCTGAAATAACCTCAATTGAATAAAGTATTGTTTTATGATATCTTTATAATTTCATTTTTGGAAGATGAAAATTACCTGACAGCACAGTTGAATAAACCAGTGGGATCCATCGTTCCCACTTGGAATTACGTTAACAATTTATCTTTCTATAAGTACGATGATCGAGCGAACTATACGTGAAAACTGACGAAAAGTACTGAGAGTTGTGGGCTCGTTTTCTGTTGTTTACGTCGCGCGTCCGTCGCACGCATACGAAGATGACCTCTATATGTTGCCTGATATTCGCGATGTTTTGCCATGCTTGCCGTAATAGCGCTAGGTGACACGGAGGGCTGCGAACGAACCAAAACTGAGTCATGATTACTTAATGTCATTGAAGAAATAGCGTTATGTATCTCATTTCTAACGAATAGAAACGTTTTTTCATCAGTGATTTACGGTTACGGAAAAATCAGATGAAAAACGATTCTACGGTGCACAAAGTGCTCAAAGAGTAGTGTTTTCTAACAAAAAGTTCATTTTACTCATGACCAGCGTAAGACAGTTCATCGAACACTATCCATCATTAAATTACATAGACGAAGGAAAAGAGAGAGAGAGAGAGAGAGAGATCCTGGAAGGATAGTAGTAATTTGCATCATACAGTAAGAGAGCGAGAGGAAAAAAGAATAAATAATCGCGCGCGAGTGAGTTCCGCTATATACGAAACACGTCCTGCGCGGCGTCTCATGCCGAGCGGAAAAATTAGTCCAAATACTCGCGAGCCGCAGCGGGCGAGAGAACAGGCAAGCCGCGTCGAAAGCACAGATAGTATAGTACGTGTGTGTGTGTGTGTGTGTCTGCATGAGAATTGCCTTGAAATTCGTCACGCACGTTCATCCACACGATTATTATTTCCAACACACGCTCGCTGCGGGCCGTGTCAGCCGGTGCTCGCTGCACAGCACACAACGCGATCATGTTGATTTATGTAATATGCGCGCCGTTTGTGTGCATAAGGTATCGTTTTTTTTTCTTTTAACTTTTTTTTTTTTATTTTTGGATCGCGAAAAAAATCGTTCCTGTAATAGACTTGCGTGCACTTAAAGCTCTGCAAGCTCCGTGAATGCTTCTGGGTTCTCTGTACGCGCGATTCTTTTTACTCGTCGATGAAAATATATAAGCGAATCGGAGCCCGAAACTACGTATAAGCGGAGCGACAGTCACAATGCCAAATTCGATTACAACTCGATTTACAAGAATGACCGGTATAATGTACGAATAGAAAGAGATAAAGAGAGAGAGAGAAACGTCGTGTGTGTGTGTAGCGTAGTGCGAGCGGCGTTGTGCATCGTCGGTATCAAAAGCGACAATCATCGAAGCCTGCACTGCTACCTGAGATACACTTACAAACAAACTCCGAACGCTATTTTTTTTTTTTTTTTTCAAGCGCACATTGCGTAATAACTCGTCGACCGGCACAGCTCGCGCAGCTGTACGCTCCGATGATTTTTTTCTCTCGCATTATTCTCCTTCTTTTTGTATCATCCTATATACGTTCGTCGAAAGCCAAAAAACCTCGGAAATTTTATTTTCCCTTCATTCGACAGGATGGCCAGTGGCAACGAGCTCGTCGAGCAGCAGCAGCAGCAGCACTACAACGGCGGCGCCACCCGTGAGGGTGCGCAACGTCAGCGTCGACGTGAGCGACAACGTGACTCTGGTCTGCGGCGGCGGCGGCGCCTCGAGCCACCCCAACGACCTCACGGGCAGCAGCGACGAGGAGTCGGTGGAGGAGGGCGAGATCCGGGTGTCGCCCTCGGTCCAGCCGGCCCTCACCAGCGCCGAGTCCAACGGCCTGTTCTGGATACGCGAGGGCCGCGAGGACGGCCAGAGCCAGCGACTGACGGTCGAGCCCAACGGACTGCTCAGATTGAAGAACGTCAGCAAGTTCGACTCGGGCTTCTACTACTGCTCGCTCAGGGATCACGAGGACACGATAAGGGATCGTATTTACGTGCAAGTTAGAAGTGAGTTTTCATGGATTTATATGAGAATTATTTGGTTAGAATGTTATATCGATAAAGTACACAGATTCAAGAGTATTTTGTGAAATTTCATCCAGAAATACTTGATTCTGGAAAAGTCGTGAAACTCGTAACTTTTTATGGGATTACCTGATATTAAACGTTTTAAATGACATCATTAGTTTATTAGTTTTTGCGGGTACCTGCGTTGAGCTTTTAGATTTCAATAGATTTTCCGAATTATGACGCAACCGCGCAATCATAGAGAAGTAAAATTATAAAATAATCGGTTTAATATTTTTCAAGTTACGTTTCTCCTCGCGATTTGAAAAATTTTATTTTGAAAAATCAAAATTTGAAGATAGCAAGTCTTAAAGATAAATCAATATAGATACCGACACTAAAAGTTCAATACCTTCATTTGGCTCCAATCGATCGAGCGGTACATTATCACAGGATACTCTTGAAAGTAGTTTATACAAATCTAAAAATAACGCGATAAAAAAAAATTACATCCACGTTTCTTGCGACGCAGCGGCTCCACCGGCTCTGCAAAATGTCTGGGTGAAGCCGTCGACGATTTTAGCGAACGTATTGTGGGAGGTGGCCGGCACGGGCGGCTATCCCATCATCGACTTCACGGCCGAGTACCGGCTCAAGCCCGTGCCCGGCGAGGAGCCCGAGGACTGGAAGTCGATCCTTCCTAATCACATTCCGCCGAATCTTGTAAGTATATTATTATATATCGTAGCGTCGACCTAGTTTTTCGCGATCTCGACACACGGCACGTCTCTCGATCAATGCCAAATGATAAAAGAAAAGAGAGTCGAGGCGAGCGCATCTTCTGGCAATAGATATAGGCTCGCGCGCGGGGTTAAAAATATGAACTTATCGCATCTATCAATCGGCTCGAGTCGAGGCTCACGTGTGTGTGTGTGTGTGTGTCTGTATATAATATCGATTCAACAAACTTCGCCCGCTAATATATATCGACGAAAAATGTCAAAGATAAAAAATGAAAAATGGTCTTCTCGCTCGACGTTCCCTCGTTCGTTTTATCATTATTCTGTCCAATTTCATTCATTACACAGAGACAAATAGACGTTTACCATTTGGAGCCCAACACGACCTACGTGTTTCGCGTCTGGGCGACCAATCAGCTCGGCCGCGGCGAAATCGTCGAGGTCGAGGGACACACGCATCACAGTATCGAGGAATTAGGTACGTAATTATTTATATTTATGTATATATCTCAAAACGACTAGATAGTTCATTTACTTTATAAAATAATTCTCGATCCGCAGAGTTAGCCAGACACCTGCTCGCGGGCGTCGAGAACTTCGACACGCGCGTCTGGGTGGCCGCAGTCGGCATCGTCATGGGCACACTCATGGTGCTCGGCTTCGGCACCTGCTACTTACTGTATCGAGAGTGCAAGGCACCCTGTAAGCATACGATTTTCACATTTCTTCTACTACTTTTTTTTACCAAAAAAAATATATATATATACAACTATTATCTAGCCGATACATACTATAAACTAAGCGCTTTACGCTTCTACTCTATCTCTTTTTTAATATAGAAATAATAATATATGAAAATACCTATTGTTGGATAATAATTACAGTACTTTTTCATCACTTTATATATACTATATTTACTATTTTACTTACTATATAACGTTGTTTCTGCTACTAATAATCAGGTTGTCATCTCGGCGAGGAAATTTGATACAATAATTTATCGAAAGACGAAAAAATGTTCAATTAATTTCACTTCAAGGCTCTTTTCATTTGAGAGAGTGAAAAATGAAAACAGTACGGAAAGTCGATAAAAACATGTGAACGCTTTTTTTTTCATTTTTTTTTATTTTTAGAGCGTAATAAAATGTAAGTCAGTAGCAGGGACAAGACAAACTTGACAATAATGTGCCCTCTGGCCTCTATGAACTTATCTACGGCCCTAATCTCTTTTGTATATCGTATTGTGTATTCTTCGCTTCATTCAAAAAGTGACACTCTCGCTCTTATCTGGTGTATTTTATCATTGATCTGTCGCAAGCTCTCAACTCTTTATACATGCCTATACATGTATTACGCGAGCACCAGTGTCTTTCGTTGTCGATTCAATAATTTTCAACTATTTTTTTTTTCTTTTTTTTCTTAACATCTGCAAAATAACGCTTTGTGTTTTTTTGATTCAAGTCCAACTATTACAATACGTTTTTTAATCTGTGTTATTTAATTTTCGATATCGATGGATATAACACATTTGCACGCGACTATTAATTGGCACTCACTCTCTCTTTCTCTCTCTCTCTCTCTTTTTCGTCAATCTCATTCGAAAAGCTCATGAACTTTGCACTTATCTAGCAGCAAAACAACAACAACAACAACAACAACTACTAAACGTTATACTCGCTCGCTGATTCACTTGTGTTTTTTTACTTACGTAATTACTTCAAACGCAAAATCTGCAAATGTGTGTATCAGCCACCAAACTTATTGAATTGTTCACATGAAAATAATTGTTATGACATTGCGTCTTAGTGACCGAAAATAAAACATCATTCTTTCATCCGCGCGACTTTTTAGAATTATATACGATTTTTATATTATTATTATGATTTTTTTACTACATATGAAACAAGTAATTCATTTAATATAACAATGATGAATAACCAGTTTTAATTTTATGCTATTTCAAGGTGTATCATTCCGATGCTTTCTCCTAAACTTAAGGTAATAAGTTTCGGTGGTTATTTATTATATTATTATTATTATGATTTTTTTTTTCTTATTGAACACAATTTTTTTGATTTTATGATTTTGTTATCGTATATAATCCATGAATATAGTGCATTGACCTGAACGTTGAGAAATGATGAACTAGTCAATTAGTAGAGCACCAGTTAAAAACAAATCAAGTCAATTAAAATGACAATTGAAAATCCAAATAGATTGATATAAACGGGCCTGTTAAGTAGATTTAGTTCAAATCGTAGCTAGACTGCATTTTGATAAAATAAATTAGTTTAAAAAAAAAATGAAATTACCTCTAGCTCACTGTATTATCAATAATTACGAAAACCGTTCCGTCAAAAGAACAAATATGATTCAAACGACCTCGAATTACGCTGACTTACTGCGTTTCGCATCACAATTCGTTCACATGGCATCATGTAAATATTCGCTGAAAAAATATTAAGAGATATCAACCGATCGACAACCATTAACATTTTTTTTAACAACATCAAGCTATATAGTAAATAGAATAGGCTTTGAATCATTCGAAAACTGGCATTACCAATTAATTGATCAGTCATTGGCATACATCGAAAGCTCATCTCCACTCATGTCACAAGCATATCATCGCTGTACATTCCTCTTTTATATATTTAAAAAGATTTTAAATTCTTGCTAACGCATAATAAATTATCTTTTCATTTCCTCTGAATGATATTTTAAACATTCGGTGTGTCGTGCCTCCTCGATGATGTACAATTTTTTAAGCAAAAGTCAATGACCATTTCATTCGCTATTAAGAAGCAATTACTCTTTTGTCGGAATTGATCCTTATAATTTAATTATGATGATGACTGATTGAAGCTGTCATTGAACTTAGTAAAAAAAAACGCCGAGAAGACTCGACACATTTATAAAAAAAATGTTTTGTTATTGCTATGCTTTATAACTTACAATCGTTCAAACCCTCTACTTTTGCTACTGTACAAATATGATCTATTCTTAGATACTCGTACTTAGTTTTTTTTTTATTGATATAAATTGAAATTTTCTAAATGCAAAAATTTTTAAACATATGAAAAAAAGAAATCGTTAATTTACATGATTTTGTCTTGTTTTTTTTTTTATAAACTTTGACACGATATAGAGATGAAAGCTTAAGTGAGTGAAAAAAACGTGATGATGATGATGATGACGATGATGATGACGATGATTAGTCAGTCAATGCAGTAATGCACAAAAAAAAGTGTTAAGCTCTAGCCCGCAAGGATAAAAATCAAAGAAATAGAGAGAGTGAGAGAGAGAGGGTAGAAGCTCACGATGCATCGCTACCCGCACGCACATCGGCCTACCGCGCGCACATCTCAAGCCCACAATCTTAAAAAAAAAAAAAAAAAAAATTAAAGAAAAAAAAAATAAAGTAATGAAAAATAAACAAAAAGTATATAATATTCTTAATCTTCGCTTCTAATTGCCTTCAACCCTTTCATCCGTGCGTACATGCACGCGCTCTCTCGAACACACACACGTGCTCTCTCGTACGTACACGTGGACGAAAATCAAAAAACAACCACAACAACAACAACCACCAAACGACGCAATCGACCGTCATCGAGCAGCGCCGCTGGAGGAGCAGGAAGTCATTGAGCTAGTGCCGAATATCATACTGAATCCGGGCTTCTTCGACGATCGGGGGGCCAACAACGGCGCCAACGGACTGCCGACCGACGAGAACTTCAACAGTCAGGCCTCGCAGATGAGGCTCAACAACAACAGCTACGTCCAGCCGAGGCGGCTTTAGCGACTCGTTCTGTGCGTCGCGGCGCACCCATCGACGCGCTCCGTGAAAAAGTAAAAGGAAAAAATTTATAATAACGACTTCGCGAAAAATCACATACGGAGATATCGACTTTTTTCATGAATATATTTGTATTACGAACGAACAAAAATTGATGATGTAAGATGGCTAGAACGACATTTGTAATATGTATACATTCCCTTGCATACATCACACAAAGAAAAACATGACACTTTACACATTACACAGTAGACGTGAAAGAGACTTATTTGTACATGTAAAAAAAAAAATTATATAAATGTGTATATTATGTAAACTCAATTTTCAAAGAGCAGCTGCGATGACGAGCGAATGTTTGTGCGTTTTTATGCTGTGCGATCTATATACTGTAATATGTAACTAGATTTACGACGTATGATATTTATTAAATTATTGCAAAAGCTCAATGAATTTGTGCGTGTAATTGTGTTTGAGTGACTCTCGATGTTTGCTAGATGGTGAAAATTCAAAGCTTTTTTTTATTAATTAATTTTTTCAAGTTCTATCGTATGTTATACTTCCATGGTTGTACATGAGAATTTAACCAAGTGCAAATGAGAAGTGAGGTTTTTACACTGTTTGAGGTGGTAAAAGTGTAACGAGCGAGTAAAAAAAATCGATTAGCCACGAGAAGGAGGAAGAAAAACGTTACCGCGCCCAACATACACGGTTTTCCGTATGAATTTGTTCGGTATAATTTTTGACAAGAAGAGAACCAAATAACGTCACGTAGGCGAGCTTTTTCCTCGAAAAACTTTAAATTTAAAATAATACTTCGCGAGCCGATCGCAATAATCCGCGCCAAATGGAATAGGAAAGTGCAAATCAAACAGTAAATCCGACGTTTCAAGAGCAGGTGAGGAGAGTTAGAGAGAGCTTTTACAATGTGTGCACGCGCAAGCTCGTAAATATCTGTTTACTTAAAAGCTCTCTCTCTCCGGCTCGCTCGTTCTAGCTTTTTGCGCGCGAAAGGTGGAATTTATCGAGAAGTATTGCACGTGGAGTTATCGATTTTTTTCGCGTACGTATATACGTTTTCTGTTCCTGCGCGATCGACCCTCGCAAGCTTGGCCGTGATGTAGGATGTAATAAGTTGGACGACGCAGAAGATGAAAAAAATATATAAATAAATAGAATATAAGATTCTTCGTGCGAACAGCAGCCTTTGTGTATTTTATTTTATCGTTTTTTTCATTCGTGCGGAAATTAAAATTATGCGTGCGTCTTTTGCGATCGAGTTCGAATGTGATTATAATACGATTGACCTCCTTCACGGCGACGAATGATGAATTACCACGCGTGCTAAGGTGAAAAAAAAAGTTATTTTTAAACTGCCGTTTTAACGAAAAATAAAAAAGTCTTCACGCGAAACTATTATTGTACAAGTAAAAAAAAAAACACATACACTTACCACACACATGATACATAATGAGCATGATATATTGCAAACGCACTACGCATTTGTTGCGTGCATTTTTAGAAAAAAATAAATAAACAAATGAATATGTTCGAAAAAAATGGAAAAAAAAGAACGATTAACTAAAATGAAAAATCGATGAATCATGACGAGTTCTCTAAACGCCCGGACGCGGCTGTACGTACGTTGTATTTTACACGATGTGCGTGCAAAATATAGACTAAAGTAATTTTTTTACCGATAATAGTTAATGGAAATAAAAAAAATTAAATAAAAGTGATTTTAATCGGAAAAATAATTATCAATCGTCGAAGAAGCTTAATAGTACACGTAAGGCACAGAGTGATTTTCTCCAAGTGCGCCGGACCCACGACAACCATCATAAAGCGCGTGAATAATTTTCAACTTTTTGAGACAACTTGTACGTTATAATCATACGTGTGAAAATATTTGTTCGTCTGCTCATGCTAGATATTAATTAAAGTATTATTATAAAAAGCGAAAATAAGTCGAGATAAGTCCTGGAAAGATGAAAAATAGAATGATCTCGCAGTCGTGTCTTTTTCATTCCTCAATTTAGCAACACATTTTTTTCGCGTCATCGCGCACCTACAACGTTGTAATTTCCCGACATTAGTCGCCAAAAATCAATCGTTTTTCCACTGTTATATTCGACGAGAGCCCCTTCTTCGTGGTCGCTTAAATTCACCCCGCAAAGTATAGACAATTCATCGTTGAAAGTACGCTTAATAGCTAAAAACTAAAAAAAAATATTGATATTAATACGTGTAATCGAGCTTTTCTCATACATACAACTTACCCATGTGTAAACGCGATCGAGCGTTATACAAATACGTCGCATACATACACACACACACAGACACGATAATTTCGCCCCGTCGTTGCGGCGCAGCGCACTCATCGTCAATTTGGAGCGCCGCCGCTGCTGCTATCATTCTCATACACGTGCTTATTACATATCTGTGACACACGTAATTGGGCCCGCTTTATCCGCGCGACTCGCGCGTTTCCTTTCCTTCAATTTTGCTCGTGCGCCGGCAGATGTATAATACATAAAGTAAACGCGTTATTGCTTATACGAAGAAGTAAAAACCGAATTATTTTAGATGTGAATTGGACGTTTTTTTGTCTATGTACGCTAATCTCTCGTGGACATTCGTTGAAAAGTATTATTATTATTATAACTATTATTATTATTATTATTATGTATATACGAAAATATCCATGTTGATTGTTTCCAATGGTATAAAATTAATATATATAATATATGTGTAATTATATTCGAACGGTGAACGTGATGGGGTGTACTGCCACCAAAACCAGTATATAATCAAAAAACATAAAATGGTAACAATGAAAAAAAAAACAAAAAAAAAATCGATGAAGAAAAACAAAAAAACGAAACTCTACATGAATCGATGATCTGCAGCGTACCAGTTCCGCACTCATCCGGTTGTACACACATACACACCACGGAGTGATATGAATATGTATTATACCTAACAAAAAAAAAATGAAAAAAAAAGCTCTTGTTCCTTGATTTGCGCGATAAATAAACGGAAAAGCTAATATGTATACTGGTTGTGCAATAAACGTGTTGAAAAAATTGGTTGTGCATAACGTCGCGTGTCGTTATTTATTAATATTATTGCGTTTAAATTAATGCATTGCGCGCGCGCGAGTCAGTAGTCATTATTATGTAAGGTACTATGATATTATTATACGTATATGGGTCATATCTGTAGCTAAGAGTAACGTACGAATAGAAACGCTTATAATCGAATCTTACTCATATTTTTTGTATTTTTTATTTTTTGATTCAAGCTTCGTCAGCCAACAAAAAAAAAGATGGCACACTCTGCGTTGTGAATGCTGTATCTGTATCTATATGATTTACGCACGATATCATTATGTATGTTAATAATTGTTCGCAGTGGTATGAAACAACTTGTATGGGGATAATCATTATTCTACAACGGGTTGTTTCTTATTTATCTCGCCGTCGAGCTTTTTTCACTTTGCTTGAACTTAAAAGTGAAGAACCTCTTGAGAGAGTTGCAGCTATTGGTTTTTTTTCATTTTCAAGGGCAAGCTCTTTGAAAAAAGCTTGGCAACGAGCGTTGGTAGACAAGGGACAACCTGATATAAACACGATGAGGCAGAAAAAAATGTTACGAAAAAGAAAATGGAATAAAAATGAAAAAAACATTGAACAATAATGATGACGCGAGGATGTAAACGATAATATATAAATCTATATATTTATATATGTATGATAATAGCCAAGGCATCGTAATATTTTAGCTATGTATATCATTAATAAGGCAAAGACAATTTTTTATACGCGTATATATATCATGACATATAAAATATATATGTAATGAAAATATAATTGATGAATGTCGATGTAGGCGTTCACTGTAATCGGGACGAGATAATATATAAATTATATTATATATGCAATACACGCGTGTGTGTAAGCGAACGATTGTTTTGATTCTTGTAATAATCAAATACGAAACGAGAGCTTCGACGATGAAAAGTGATCCAAAAAAAAGGAAACTACTGATAACGATCCCTTCGACTTCCTTGCAATCGTTTGACAGTTTTTGTTCCATTTCATCCGCTAATCCTAAAGTATTTTCTTCGTAAAAGTGTGTAAAATATACATTTCACTGTATTTTTTTTCTCTCTTTTTTTTTTGATAACGTGATGTAAAATAGAGCGAGAAAATTACAAATAATCCGTAGATAATGTGATATTACGTAAAAACACAAACAAACAAATGAATAAATAAAATCGATTCAACCAATCAACAAAATAACAGAGGAAAATAGTAACGGTAACGATAACTTTTTTAAAAAAAACCCCTTCGAGAGTAAAAGTAAGATGACGAAGAAAAAAATTTATTCTTGTATTCGATTACGGAACCAAAATGTAACGCGCTGTAATCGGCGCGTTATTTAGAAGTAGGTTTTTTCTAGACTCTCATGCTCGTATCACAATAAAAAAGAATTCATCTCGTCTGCTCGAAAGTAAACCGCGTTTGGTTTTTATACGTACTTTCTTCTTTTATTTTCGAATTGCATAGCCCATTTCGTCGCGTTTTTCCAGATACTCGGCAGTCTTGCAATAATTAATACAAATACTGTATTTTTTTACCAGATTAGCTGAAAATTATGGAAACTTTACCTGGGTTCGCATTACCAAATGTAGTAAATAGGCAGACGTTCATTCATCGTCATATCCATATCATACAAATAATACCCCGAATACCTGATGGTAGAGTTTACATAGATCTCAATCTTGACTTTTTGCATTCCAATGAGTAAACGTACATGTATTCGTGCTAAGTGCGCCGCGTGATCAAGAGAAGCTATAAAAGATGCATCCCGCGTGCTTGGAAATTATAAAAAAATAATAACGTATATTAATCAACGCGCGCGTTCTATCATTATAGTCCTAATATGGAAAGTCAAGCGAGACACTTTTGCGAATTGTCTTGAAAAAAAAATACTGTTTAAGATGCATAATCGATTAATTATAAACTTCACTGTTATGGTTGCTGGCAAAACCATCACTTTTTCTATTTTTGTCTCCTATTAGCTATATTTTATCTTTTTAATCAACGTGTACTCAATTTTCCATTAATTCGTATACCCGCGTACCTACCGTAATTTATGGCTTAAGAATGTATGTATAGCAATTAGTTTGTCATGAATCCCCCCTCCCCCCTCAGCATTTAAAAGCGAAAAATTGTAAGAACAAAAATTCAGAAATCTAAAAATTTGTCTAAAATCGTGAAACGTTAAAAAATTGCTCGAATAAGATTATACAAGTTTCGTGAATAATAGATGTATAGATTGGCACAAGGAAAAATATATATTTTATTTACCAAACTAATACGGTGTAAATAAGTATCATATAGTTTTTTGACGATTAATTGAACTTGCAGTTGTTGAAATGAAAAAATTAAGTGAGCGATTGGATGATTATCGAATCATTTTCTAATTATACGTTTCGTTATAGAAGAAAAGAAAATTAAGAAAAAAACTTGTACCTCACAATTATATATAATAGGTATTGTACAAGTACAAAAGTGCTCTAAATATTATGATATATTATAACATTATACGCTTTCATAATTGAATGTAAATGTGCATTAAATACATGCCAGAATGGAATAGAAACGCAATACGTTACGTTGTGATTTTCTATTTTTTTGTTTGTTTCGTTGACATATAATATATTATAACTATAATAACAGCTAAGCATTTATTATTTTAGCGAGAAACATGTGATTAAAACAGAATTAAAGGTTGATGATTCATTATAACGAGTGAAATATTACGGGTTGGCCGCTCTCGCGTGCACCTATGTGCGAGTTTTGGCAATGAAAACAAAAAGAAATACTACAATTTTCCGTAAAACGCGTGGTTGTGCACGAAAAATTGAAATTACAGTCACTTTCTTCTCTCTGCGATATGGGCACGCACACATATTATGATAAACGTATAAAGACACAATTTTTAAGCTGCTGTGCTTCGTGAGCGAGTATATGATAATTATAATATAGGCACATATCACTTGTGAGAAAAATAAAATTATATTAAACAAATTTTATCATATATTTATCATAATAATCGATTTCCTTTGTGAATGAAAAAAAAAAAAAACTAATCATGTTCCAAAAAATATATAACGATGCTTGTGTGCTAATCAATCATTAATTTTAAGTACATTATAGTTTGAATCGTGCAATGTTGAAAAAGGACATTTAATTTTTCGCGAAAAACTAATGTAACGGTAGAATTTTAGTTTACCACACAAATTGTATAAAGTGCTCCGAGAAAAGAGCACATATAAATATTTTAATATGTAAATCGTTTCATTGTACACATGATATTTTATGAAGTTACTTTACTTTTCATGGTTGTGCAGACTTCGAAAAACAATCTTTCCATGTTTAGTTGTGAAAAATAAGTGTAAGCAGCCGAGATACATCTCGCCTCTATGTATATTATATTGGCATTAATGAAGACCTCCAAATATTGCGGCCGATTGTAGGAGTAAATGCATGTGTTAGGCCAAGTATTCGATATTTATATTCAACGCGCGATATTTGGCAAAATTTTTATAAAATTGTTTTGTTATTCAATAAAGACAATATCCTTAAAAAATTTATTCGATTCAATGTTATTAATACCAAAAATTTTTATTTGTGCCTTACATTTAGTTTATGATTTATTAGAAATTTGTTCAATTTCGAGTGTTTATAATTATTTTGAATGAAATATTCGTTCAAAAGAACTAACTCTAAATCATTCTGAAAGTAAATAAATTATATCAAATTTAGGAAAATTCTATGGAGAAGCTGATTATATTATAACTTTTATCATGATATTAGTAGTTTACAATGGGAGTTTGGTTTCTAATTTTTGATTATTTTTGGCTGAATATGAATAAAACATTTACTATAACTTTTTATAAAAAATTTAAGGAAGTAATGATACTACTCCATATAACATAATTATACATTTATAAAACAATATATGCACCAATAAAAATAAAAAATATTTAAAGCATTTTGGTAATAAATTAACAATGATCTTGAAAGACTAGTTACAGGATGAAAATATTAATTTTATAAAAAATTAAAAATTTATGTTAACTTGATTCTCTGCAAAACTATTTACATATAAACGAATGTATAACATTTTAATTTGATTTTTTCTGCACAAAAAAATATTCAGTGCTTACTGATAATTATGCAAAAGGTAAGTCATAAATCATTTCATTACACCAAAGTGTCTAGTAATCAAGTTATCAAACAGTCATAAGCCTGGAATATAAAACTTAAAAACTAAAATCACTTTGTACATATTGTTTTACCTCTGATTTTATAATTGTATCTCTTTCAAAGAAATATACCATTTCTCATACTCAATTATGATTGTACATATGAATAAGTATAATTTTTTTAGGTAACATTAAGTTTTTGTAAAAAAACTTTATCTCATCTAATCTTTTATGCAAAAATTTTACTAGAACAAGCTATAAATTTAGCACATCTTGTTATTTACTTTGAGTTTAAGTACTCGTAACACCCTTTCTAGCTACCAATATATTCAACACTGGGTGCTTACGAATGTATCCAACAGCTTTTTTATGAGTTACCATTGTAAAATCATAACCATTACATTGTAATATTTTATCGTGTATTCGTAACCCACTTCTAGCTGCCGGAGATTCTTCATGCACTTCTGTGACATATATGCCCTGTAATTGAATAATAAAAATAAATCATCTCCACAGAATTTGTTGTAAGCTAATATTTCCTTACGTTATCTGTGTAACCTTGAGGACTTTTCTTGTAATCTTGGTCAATACCACCTCCAATTTTAAAACCACATTTCATAACTTCTTCTCCATTAGCGTTGATTTCAACTTCTTTGTGGAGTGTTATAGGAATCTATGGAATTATTGAAAATTAAATTTGATTACCAAGTTATAATAGATGTTGGTAAATGTTTTACGTGAGTTATACAGTGTCGAAAAAAATTCATACAAAAAAAATCAATAGCCCTATACAATGAAAAAAAAATAGTTACATGATGGCAAAGAGCATATGTCAAAGATGTCATTGATTATAGATTTAGTAAGGTCACATTAAACCTATAGTGTCTTTAAGATATAGTATTATAAAAGTCTCAAAAGTAAAGAACAGCTGTTTTCCTGCATCATCTGTCACTATGCTAGACTTGTGGAATGGCAGCAATTAGCATGGGAAAAAAGGAAAAGAATAAGAGCCAAGAGATAATTACGCATGAGGATTTCGGATCCAAAATAAATACTAGTCTCAGAACTTACACTGAGGCATTCCATGGCAGTGCCAGGCTGATGCTGGAAAGCCATTTTCGCGCTCATACTGTCACCGACTGCAGACAGCGACTGACTGCTGCACAGGATAAACAAACTCTCCGCGGCTCGACGCGGCGGTGCGGCATTGCAGACAAGATTCGCTGCACTTGCGACCCCGAGAGCGCTCGTGCGAGAGTTATCAGCATAATTTTGACTGACATAAATCAATTATAAAAACCGTGGATTTTGTTTAAATCAAAAAAATTGTATTTGTTTCTTTAAAAAACGGCTTATATGATTGCCCATGCAAAAATATTAACATACTATCTAATACATTTTTGTCTCACTTTTTCAAAGCTGTTTTTAGATTCGAAAGATTCTTTAATTTTACTGAGATACAGCTTTATTAGTGAGATGCGATTTGAAGTTTTAGATTCAATAATTCTGCTTCACTCGAGTTATCAAAAAAACACGTTTTTCCTCACTCTTAATTACAAACCGTGAAAACTATTGGATCAAAATATTAGAAATTAATTATGCAAATATTATCTCTCGAATGTTACCTGCAATTTTTACAAGATACAAGCTATTAACTTTCTTAATTTTATCATTTTTTTTCTGATTGATTTATAACATGAAATCAACGAAAGTAATTCATAGAAGTATTTAAAAAGCTACTTGTAATGTATTTTATCCTAAAATTTTAAACATTATACTTTAAAAACCTACGCTTAAAAAAGATAGCTATTTCAAATTATTAAGTACAGTGTATTACAATGAATAGCATTATAATAAACGCATTGCAATTCATCTTCTACCGGTCATGCATTATACAATTAATGTCTAACAGGTTCGCAGGCGATTCACTTCGTCGTATTGGAAACGGTGGTGGTTACATTAAGAATCTGTTGGTAAGTTTTAGGGTTTTTTTTAGATAGCTTGTGGCCTTGTCGATAAGCTTCTTCGTCTGAGCTTTCAGCCCCTTCGGATCAACTTACTTCCGCCATTGCATCAAATTATTAGCCATAACTTTTGGTTTACTTTTAATTTTGGCTTTTGTCTTACATGTTTGCATCTAATGAATACAACAAAGTATTTCACAGTGATTCCGACCAGTGAAACCAATCATGAAAGATACAAATATGACACTATGTATTGAGAAAAAAAATAGTTCCAAGTTTAATTGTCAATTAGTTTGTACCTGACTAGTCTGGCAGTACACTAAACGGTTAATTTTACTCAGCAACAGAAAAATAAATTTTCAATTTTGAAGGGTAAATAAAGATAATTGCAGATTCTCTTATTAGTATAGTAATAGAAAGATGTACCTATATCTTTGCTTTATGCATGTGCATTTTAAAGCTCAATGGTTTTCATTTTGGCTATAAGAGTCTCATTTTTTCAATCTTAGCCTGAATTTTTTTATTACTTGTTTACCATTCAGAGGCTTTTATAAAATGCTTTACTTTTTGAGCCATCATTTCTAATAGTAAATAAATGTAAAAATCGTAACCACTCTAAGCTTGTGTCATGAACCTCTTATAGAAAAATGATGCTATCAAAAATGTATTGTGCAGTTGTAAAGAAATAGTTGATACAACATCCAACCAAATGCATCGCATTATCCAAGCAACTTTCAACTATAGATATCACACTGCTATGTATTCATAAAACTTTCTCATCATAAAAACTGTCATGATTTATTTATAAAACTAATGAAAAATCTTGTTACAAATATTGGTACAATAAATAAAGATCCAGTCATAATTATAAATATTCTTATTTACATCTAACTGTATATACAAAAAATAAGAGTTACTTTTTTATCTTAAAACAGTTAATGCCTGCATTATACTATTTCGCAAGGATGGATATTCACTCGGAATTGTGTATTCAGATGCAAGTATGGCATTTGCAATTGCAATTGTATCTTGAACACTGTTTTTAGATTTTATCCAAATTTTTCCATTCATTCCGACAGCTACTTCATATTTTAATTCTTCTGATAGTAATTTCAACAGAGGATAGTCTGGTTTTAAAACTTTTCTGACAAGATTTAATGAACAAGAAAACATCATTCCTTCTGGGCTCAAAATGCCAAGCTTTCCTTTTTTACCAAATGAATCAACGCAAACTAATTCTGATTCCATATATTTACCGGCCACAGCTAACTTAGCATAAACAATATCGCCAACTTGTACATCAGGTCGATTTCTCTTGCTAGATCCTTCAAATGCCAGATACGACAGTACAGCTGGTTCGCTGGCTCCAATATCCACTTTATATAAATCACCTGCTTTTTGAGTTACAACACCCACAACATTCTCACCTTGACTTGGTATATACCTGAACAAGTAAATAAAAGAAAAATACACTTAAAACACAGTTGAGATGTAAAATACTCAATTTCTATGAGTATGTTCGAATTCATGTACGCACCTCTTTTGATGACAATCCACATAATAAATTGCAAGTCTTTTTTTTAATATTCCGGCTTTGGTAGTATAAACATCCTCGCCATCCGTTCGCAAACCGGGTCCAAGAATGACTTTCTTTTTACTACCGACTTTTTCAATTGGTTTTAATTTATCCCCTGGCATAACAATGTCATCCACGGCTACTTCCATCGTGCCAAATTTATTTACTTTCAAAAAAAATACAAGCGATGTTTTGAAGTATTGTTATTTAATTCGAGAGGTTACAATCCCACCTCAGTTCTTCTCACATGTGCAGACGGCCGCAGACTGGGCTTTTTTGTCTGCTAGTTATTTACCCGTAGCGAGCGTGTCACTGTCATGTTATGATTGTCATGAAACTTACTGGTTTGCTTTGAAGCTTATATGACAATCAAATTGTCGGCTGCAAGTTGAAATGAAGAAACGGAAAACACAGTGACATTTGTGTAAAAATATGAGTGACAATAACGAAAACAAACAAAGCTCGGATTGTATTTTTTGTTATAAAAAAACACGTTTATTTGTTTATAACAAACATAAAAACTAAAGATCTATAGGAAGGGTATACGTTAAAATGAAATCTGTTTTACAAAACTGTTAAAAATAAAACGGATACCTAAAGAAAGGTAGTATATGACGCATACAAAACAATTGCTACGATTATAAGTAAAACCATCAATATATCCTTGGTTAGCCAATAAAAAACGTCTTGTGCGATGAACGATGCTCTCTGGGTGTTTAAAAAAAAAAAGTATACATTATTCAAGCAATAACGATTGAAAATTAAACTGAAACAGGGAGCAATCATCGAAACTCACGTGCATCAGCGATAGATTCAAATCTTTCGCGCTGTATCCTCTGGCCAAATTTCTTCGGACGTATAAGTCGTAGTTTTTTATTATTCTTTTAACGATATCCGAAGTAGAAACGCCCGGCGTTCTCTGCGTTTCGAGAAACATTCCCTTGTCCTTTAGCTTTGCATAAAAATCGACTTGTCCTTCGGTCTCGTAGACATCGTCGTGGGCCACGAAGTCAATCTGTAAAGTAACCCTCAGGTATGATTCAAGTATAAATCGTGTGTGGCTTGAGTCAATTCGTTGAGTCTGGTGATTTGTACCTTGTGTTTTTTTATAAACTCATCATTAAGGATCCAGGGAGCACTGCGAACGACTTCGTCCACGTATCGGCAGTGCCTTACCGCCTCGTACCTCTCCGCATCCGTCATTACGGTCCGGCCTTTTTTGGAGTGCGTCAACTCGTCGTTGCAAACTTGGGAATTGGGAATTTTAAAGCATATTTCAAAAAGCAATTTTACACAATCACTTTTTTTTTACTTACCTCCTACGATTAGATGTACGTTAGAAAATCGGTTTTTGGCCTGCATCAGCTGCCGGGCATGGCCTTGATGAAACAAATCGTATATTCCATCAGCGTACACACGCACTTTTCGTGGAGCTAAAAAAGTCGAATAAAAGTTTCGTAAACTTTTCTGGAAAAAAGTACATTTTAAGGGATTAAGGTTTAAGGTGAATGAACCTTCGCCGGATTCTGCTGAAATTTTTATCGAATAATCACAATTTTCTCGCTCTTGCACAGCCTCCGGATCGTCGCTAAATGGAGCTTTTTTAAAATGAAACTAACAAGACACGAAATTATTTTAAAAATCATGAACATTGAATTCAGAATATTAAAATTAAATTAATTACACCCGATTCATCGATCGACTTTATCGTTTCTTTTTCTTTTCGTTCATTCCGTTCTTTTGACGTTTTCACGTCGGCAGCGATTTTTTGTTGCATTTCTTAAAATAGAAAATTAAAATTTTCCTTTATAACGTACTCCAAAAAACAATTAAAAACTTAAAATATAGATAGATTTAAATTTTAATCGTTAAAATACAATGTACATTATCAAGTTAAGCTTGTATACAGCTGTGCGATGGTAAAAATATTTGAGCCATTTGTTTGGTTGTCAAGGCATGTACAAACAAAACAAACAAACTGAACTCGAAACAATTCCAATTTTCAAAAGTTAGTTCAGTACGGAATGATCGCAAGTTTATTTTTCAAAAATGTCTAATGAACGTCTTCACTGTCCGTTAACAAATCTGATCCGTACGATTTTTTCAGGCTCAGCTCATTATCATGCAAATGTTATTATATTATTCAAAAGAATACGCGCGATATTTAAAATCTTTCTATCTCATGAGAGTTAGATGAATATTGCTCATCTTTTTGATTTTTAAGAGCAGTGAATCCAGCTTTAATTTTTCAAGTTCAATATCACAGTTTTCAAGTGAAAAAAAATTTACCACATGAATATTTTGAGTTCGCTACAGTTTTTCATTATATCCGATTTTTTATAGTAGCTGTAAGGCTAAAATATCTGCTATTGCGAATTGCATGGCATTTTAATAAATATAGGTCACGTTTCATAAATAAGGTGCATGGCTATTTAATGAGAAAAAATCGGTAAACTTCCTTGAACGATCTCTCGTCTAAACACAAATGAAAATTAATCTAAATCCCAGATGAATGTAACATAAAGCGATGAATGAACTTACACATTACGAAAGCCGATCGGCAACTAAATATCTTCGAAAGCCTTCTCGATGGCGCGAGCGAGCTCGCGCAGCTCCTCGACGATGACGCGCTCGCCGTCGTGCACCGGGCACAGATACTTCATGATGGCGAGGCGATCGATCGTGTCGGCCAGCTTGGTCCTGATGCGGGCCCAGGTCATCGCGGGCTCGTCGTCGTCGTTGTCGTGGCCCTGCCTCGTCTCGATCGCGCGCAGCCCGAGCTCGTAAAATAGCACCAAGTTCCGCATCATGCCCAGAGTCTTGTAGAAGGGACAGAAGCGATCCTGGCTCGACTGGGCGTTCTGCTGGAGGAAGTCCTCGCTGAGCATGCGCGCCACGGCCAGCAGCAGTTTCTCCGGCTCGGACAGCGAGGTGGGGCCGATTATCTGGGTGAGCCTCTCGAGCTCGTGCTCCCGCTGCAGCATCTCGAGGATCTTCCGCCTCAGCTCGGCGAACTCGGGGAAATTCGCCTCGTAGTAGTGAGCTGAAAGCAACGAAACGACGATGCAATATATACTCGTTGCGGGAAATCGACGTAACACGGCTCTCGCTCACTCAGCGGCTCGATGCTCTTGCTGTAGCTGAGGCTCCAGTTGATGGCCGGGAAGTGCTTCCTCTCGGCGAGCTTCTTGTCGAGGGCCCAGTAGGTCTGGACGACGCCGAGGGTGGCGCTGGTCACGGGATCGGCCATGTCGCCGCCGGGCGGCGACACCACGCCGACGATGCTCACGGATCCCTCGCGCCTCGGGCTGCCGCGGCAGCGCACGCGTCCCGCGCGCTCGTAAAAGTTGGCCAGGCGCGCATTGAGGTAGGCCGGGTAGCCCTGGTCGGCGGGCATCTCGCCGAGGCGGCCGCTGATCTCGCGCAGCGCCTCGGCCCAGCGCGACGTCGAGTCCGCCAGCAGCGCCACGTTCTGGCCCTGATCGCGAAAGTACTCGGCGATGCTGCAGCCCGTGTAGATGCTGGCCTCGCGCGCCGCCACCGGCATGTTCGAGGCGTTCGCCACGAGGACGCTGCGCTTCATGATCGACTCGCTGCTGCTGGCCCCCCCGTCCTGCACCTCCACCCGGAGCTTGGGAAAGTCGCGCAGCAGCTCGGCCATCTCGTTGCCGCGCTCGCCGCAGCCCACGTACACGACCACGTCGCTGTTGGAGTACTTGGCCAGGGCCTGTGACAGGCCCGTCTTGCCGCAGCCGAAGGCGCCGGGCAGGGCGCAGGTGGCGCCCTGGGCGCAGGGGAACAGGCCGTCGAGGACTCGCTGGCCCGTGACGATGGGCCGACGCGGCCTCATCTTGTCGGCGTAGGGCCGGGCCCGGCGCACCGGCCAGATCTGCAGCATCGACTGGTCGATCGTCCGGTCCTCGTACTCGAGCTGGAGAATGACCTCGTCGACGGTGTACGAGCCGGCGGGCGCCAGGTACTTCAACTGAGCGCGTCCGATCGTGGTCGCGTTAAAAATCGCTACATATATAAGATACACGTGGATCGAGCTGTATTATTATACCCGGCCGCAGGTGTCGGGCGCCACCATGATCCGATGCTTGAGCAGCTTGTTCTCGTAGACGAGGCCGACGAGATCGCCCCCGGTGAGCGGCTGGCCGCGCTTGAGCCGCGGCAGCGGGCAGAACTCCCAGTAGGCCGTGCGCGACACCGCGGGCAGGTCCAGGCCGCGGCCCATGTAGATCGAGCCCGTGGCGAGGTGAACGTCGCGCAGCGGCCGCTGAATGCCGTCGAAGATCGAGCCGAGCAGACCGGGCGCGAGCTCGACCGCGAGGGGCCGGCCGGTGCGCTCGACGGGATCGCCCGCGGCCAGGCCCGAGGTGTCCTCGTAGACCTGGACGGTGGCCCGGTCACCCTCCAGCCTGATCACCTCGCCGAGCATGCGCGAGTGGCCGACTCGCACGAGCTCGTACATGGCGCAGGCCCGCATGCGGCGGGCGGTCACCACGGGCCCGCTGACGCCCTCCACGTAGCCCTGGTCCGATTCTCTGCTGGCCGATCGGCGCCGCTGCCTCGTCGTCCGCTCCGTTGCCACGGAGCTACGCATGATTGTGATTGCGCGTTCGCGTGCGCTGGATGATTATATACGTACGCTGCGTCTTCTTTCGATGTATCGTTATACTTGTAGCCCGAACTAACAACAAATAGCAGACGTGAGCACGCCGCTTAGAAGGGTTATAGTCTCTGGCGAAATACGACGATATTATAGACTAGAAATGGAGCAGCGCGTTTGAATTAAATGGTGTTGAACTTTCGTACTATTTTTTGACAGTGCAGACAAACTTTATGATTCAATTGCATATACGGTGAATCCTCTTTATTAATAAAAGAAATTTTTTAATACTATACTTAAATTCTATACAATACTTTATGTATATATGGCCGATTCTCTGTCAACTAAACCGGTCAAAATTTTTTCTCTATATCTAATGTGATGAATACATTGCTTGGAATAAAGGAGGCACAAATCTATCGAAATCAATGTCTGCTAGGATGCGGAAAAGGTGGCCTAATCGGTGCACCCGATATGAATATCGACCTGGCGACGACTTTCTCCGAGGAAGTCGAACTGTTTTTGCTACTTCGCCCACCCTGGTGGCCGACTCGGTGTACCAAGTATGATTATCGACCCGGCGACGATATTCCCTGAAAAAGTCGAATTGTTTTCGCTATTTCATGTACCCGGGTGGCCTACTGGGTACAAAATCGACCCAGCGACGACTTTCTCCACGAAAGTTGAGATGTTATGACTACATTATGCCCCAGGTGCGTATACCAACCGACGATGGCTTACTCCAAAGAGTCGAAGTTTAAAATTCATTAAGATAAGATCTACACTTTAAAATAGAAAAATCTTATTTTTTACCTTGACGTCAAGAAATTGTACCTTTTGATGCAAAAGGAAAACTATTCATGCTATTGATCTAAAATTTTACAAGCTATTATGAAATAATTAGTTAAAGTACATACTCAAATATCATGATAACAGCATGCAAAGTCTTGTTTTCAACTTTGAAACAGTTGAATCTCATTCATCACTTACGTCAAGAAATTGTACCTTTTGTTGATAAATTAAAACTATTCATGCTACGGATACGGGTTCCGTAAAGAACCCGTTAAAGCCGTGTTCAGCGTGAGCTACAGTCCCGAAAGCCGAGGTATTAGCAGACGAGACAGAACTCGTGGGGACTGGTATGGACCCTACATGAAAGAGTTTGCCGTCACTGTGGCTGCACCATTTATAAAAGGTGCGAAAGTCGTTGCAGTTGTGCTATTTGGAGAAGAGATACCAGTCACTGTGCTGGAAATGTCAGTAGCAGACGAAATCGTCCGGGTGTCATTGCTGCTGACGGACGCTGCCGTTGTTGTGGCATCAGGGACTAACTGCTGTGTGAGTGGTGTCACAATGACGGGTTTTGTCTCTCGCATGGCTTGTAATTCAGCCTGAAGGGTTGTTGATTTTCGTAGACTGAAAGTTTAGCCATGAGATGCCTTTCAATCTCAACAGCATCACCACCGTCGTATGTCAAAATAGAAGAGTTTTGCTGATCTTTCTCGTCACCCATGATGTCATGTTGATGAGGTGTGAAAGAAAAATGCAAAAGATGTGAAAAGAAAAAAGAAAAAAATTTTTTATGCACGTGTGACCTTAGGTCCAATTAATTATATACGATCGCCTTTAGAGCCTAGGTTTCACCCTAATAGCTCAAAGTCCCATTGTTTGAAGTGAGTTTAGTTAATGTAATCCCCTTATTGTAGAAATACTGAGGAACCTCTATAACAAGTGGCGGTTTTATTACAACGGTGCTGAAAGACCTTTGTAATTATTGGGCAGAGACCTTAACATAAAGGTGCTGAAGGACCTTGACGAAAGAAAAGAATTTATTGCAAAAGTACTGAGGGACCTTGGCAATAGATGAAAGTAGATGTTATTGTAGAAGTACTGAAGGACCTCTACAATATTTAATAGGCTTTGTTACAAAAGTGCTGAAGGACCTTTGTAACGAGTAGACAAAAATTTTATCGTAATAAAGGTGCTGAAGGACCTTTACGATAAATAGTAGTTAGTCAGATTAGGATAACTCGGGTAAAAATGATTTGATTAATATTTTAGGCTGTAACATAGTTGTAAATGTTCATAGAAATAGTGGCATATGTTGTATGATGACTCGGTAGTTTCAAGGTTATACCGAGTCATGCATAACTAATACAATCAATTTGTATATTATAACTTATGATTTAAGGTTTGTACCTATTTAACATAAGAATACATGTATCCTAATAAAACATCGCTAGGTGTTATAATTGTTTTGTTTATTATTTAAATAAAATAAAAGTTCGCCATGTGAATGCACATGGTGATCTTTAAATTCCAAATTTAATTATTAATATAAATGTTTGTGGTTTTATTTTTATATTTTTTGATAGCTTGTTTTATTTAGCGTCGATTAATTTTATTGTTATGTATTTATTATTAATTTTAATATTATTAATAAAAGAGTAAAACCTATGATAATTATGGTAAGGTAGATTATGCGATAATGTAGTATGATAAGGAATGGTACAGAATGGTAAAACAACGGTACCGGTGCAGTCATAGCTGTAATGAATGGGACTTTCGATGCGTTACAAAAAGCGAGAAACTTGGAGAGCAAGAAAATGTGCGTGCTAACAAACTTACAGAGATTGATTGATAAAAAATTAATTATACATTTTTCAACAGTTGAAGATACAAAAACAAAATATTGGAGCATAGAACAAAGCATCGAATAATGTTATAATATGTACATCTTAAATGCAGGAGTGCTTTGGATGTTGGCGAGGGCGGCAGGTAGATCATTCCAGAAGCGTGAGCCCCACAAGACAGAGAGAGAGAGAGAGAGAGAGAGAGAGAGAGAGAGAGAGAGAGAGAGAGGTAGAAAAAGAAAGAGATAGAAGAGTGGAGAACCTGAAGAGCGGAGAACCTGAAGAGCTCGATTGACTTTTTCTTTTCTTTTTTAAAAATTTACTTAACGCGTGGGGCGTGGGGTCACTCTGAAACTCGCATGTCTTTATTGCGCACAATTTTAAATTAAGAAAATTAATCTTATTAAAAAGAAAACAATATTTCACTATGTATTTAAATTCTTAAAACTTAAGAGTTTTTTGTATAGTCTTCTTTAAATATTTCTTTTAGCACTTTCAAATGTCAGCGAGCATAAAATTTTATCAATCCTGATTTATTGTCAAGTGCACTGTAGAAACGAGGCGACGACACTCGATACAAAGCACAAAAATAGAAGTTGATACCGCTGCAGCCGTTGCCTGCTTGGCGCCACTGCGCGCGACGATCGGGACGGAGCTGCGATGCGAAGCGACGCGGCGGAGGACACCGTCGCTAACGGCGCTTCTACATAAGATCTTCGTCTCGGATGCATCGGACGGACAGTACCAACTTCGAATAATAAATATTCCTTCTATTGTATTTTATTCTATTATGAGGTTAAAATATAATAGAAGGAATATTTATTATTTGAAGTTGGCACTATCCGTCCGATCCGTCCGTATGGAGCCCGAAACTCAGATGAAAATCATATGTAGAAGCGCCCTAAGACGGGTGCCGCGTCGCAGAAGATGAGAGAACGAAGGGAATCACCACTGAGAAGATTTAAGGACCACGGTTCGGTCTTGGAGGTTCTTGAAGCCTCGGTTGACGAGAGGCGGAGAGGGTGACCGAAATCCTTCACGATGTTAAGTTTAACTGGAGCTTTATTGCGTGTGTCTCGTGAGACTCGTGTGGTGGTAGAGCTCCTACTGTCACTATAGCTGCGCAGCGTCGCAGATTCAAGGTCGGAGGGGGGAGGGAAAAAAAGTACAATACAATTTTTATATGAATTCTGGGAGTTATTGTTCTAGTTACGACGTCACCGAATCGGTTAGTCCTTGGGGAAACAAATTGAAAGTTTTTTATATAGTAAAAGTACGAGTGTGTTTGTGCGCGAGTGCCCACAACGATGTCGAGCTTGGAAAATTTGACGAGTTTACGGAAAAATTTCAATTTAGAGATCGATGAGGATCGATTGGAGCTTTTCGATCAATTTGACTATCTGATCAGTGATTGGAAGGGCCAACTTCCTAACCTTCGGGATATTTTTTGTCCCGAAGAAATTGAGTGTCTTCTCTTTCAATCTATAAGATACATGCTATCGTCGCACATGTTTGAAGACAAAAGTTATTGTCAGGGAGAACGATTCATCGATTTCGTGGTCCGAAGCGGGTACAAGGATGAGCCGAAAATTGACGAAGACGGCAAGCCGCCGTCGCTGTGTCGCACCACGCCCCTGCATCGAGCCTTCAAAAGTTTATTTCAGCACGAGGATATCGTGGTTCGTAATCTTTTTAAAATTTACGACAGGGTTGACTTGAATTACACTAACGAGTCGGGACTGTCGCATTTCCACATAGCCTGCTTCGAGCCTGGCTGTGTCGAGGTCGTCGTAAAATTCCTCGAGTTCGGCCAGGACCCAAATCTCATCTGGTTAGAAACAGGCAACTCGCCGCTTCACTTGGCCTTGGCCAACAAACGCTACGAGGTGGCCGAATCTTTGCTGAAGTATGGGGCTAATCCCAATTTGGCTGACGACGAGGGATCGACTCTTTTACACCTAATGTGCATTGAGAGTGATGACGATGATGACGACGATAGCATGGCGGAGAAGTTCTTCAAGATCATTGACGACCCGCGACATGAGCCGTTGTTTACCGACGCCAAAGATAAATCAGGTAACACACCTTTGCATTTAGCTGTGGCCAGAAGATGCACGAAGATGGTCCAATTACTACTGAAAAGAGGCGCAAGCCTTAACTTGTTCAATGCGAACGGATTGACTCCTCTGCACTTTAGTTGCATGAGAATCGACGACGACGACGATTTGGTGATGATGTTGCTCAAGTTCAGCATCGTCGAGAATCGACCGGTGCAGGTGGATGCCGTGGACAATAAGTCGAGCCAAACTCCGCTACACTATGCTCTGGCCCACGGCAAGAAACCTCGAATCATTCGAGCGC